GTTTTTTTCACGTGGACTGTTCTAGTATGTACACCCTGTTCATTAAGTGAACTTGCAATGATATTACACTATTTCATGTTTAGTGTAAGGTCCAACCCAAGTATTTTTACCTCCTGTCCTTTGTGCTTTTGTCAAAAGTTTTACTTCTATGCATGATATAAGCCTCAAAACATGTTGTTATTATTTTAGGTCTAAACCATTAATTATATTAAACAGATTTTCAAACGTTTATTGTCACTCCATGCACATACCATTTCCACTGCTTTTGTTTCGTTATGTAGATGCAGATTTCCCTCTGGTGTCATCTCTCTCCTGCCTAAAGAACTTACTTTAACATTGTTTTATAGTGCAGGGCTGTTGGTGATGATGAATGTCCTCAAATATTTTCTCTGAAAATGTCTATTTTATCTCTTTTTTTGAAGAATGTTATTGATGGATATAGAATTTTAGATTTACTTTTTTCTTCTAGCGCTTAAGATGTCCCATTGTCTTTCATCTTGAATTGATTCTGATGAGAAATTAGTGATAATTTTTATATTTGATTTTTTTATATGTAAGTGGCTTTATTTATTTTTGCTGCTTCTAATATTTCCAATAGGTAATTTGATTTTTAATAACTTAATTATGATTTGTTCTGGCGTGGGTTTTTTTTTTAATGTGTATTCTGCTTGGAGCTCATTGAGTTTCTTGGAACTGCTGGTTTATATTTTGTATCAAATTTGGAAAATTTTCAGACATTCATTCTTAAAATAGTTTTTTCTGCTCTCTTTTTGTCTTTTTATTGGACTCACATTACATGTACATTAGCTTGATATTTTCTCACACTTCACTGAGGCTCTGCTTATTTTTTTGGCCAGTGTTTTTCTTTCTATGTGTCTGGATAGTTTGTGTTTGGATAGTTTCTATTACTTTATCTTCAAGTCTTTTCTTCTTTGATGTCTAATTTAATCTTAGTTTCCTTTAGTGAATCTTCCACTTAAGAGATTCTCTTGTAAAGAAGTTCTATTTATTTCTATTTCATACTTTCTGTTTTTCTTATTACATTTATATTTTTCTTTATGTTTTTGAACACAAGTATCTATAATAGCTTTTTGAAAGATGTTTTCTGAATCTATTTGTTACTTCCAAATATATTTTCTTCTTTTTAAAGACCAGTTTTTTAAGGTATGATTGACATACGGAAAGCTTTACATATTTAACTTATACAATTTGAATAGTTTGGCAGGTCTGTTTATTGACTGGTTTTTCTCATGGTTGAAGCATTTTTTCTGCTTCTTCACATGTCTAGTGATTTTTCATGGGATGTTAGTGTAAATATTACATTGACTGTCTGCATTTTGTTGTCTTTGGTTCGTGGATATTGAATTTTTTTTTTTTTCTAATTTTTGTTCAGTGGTTTAATTACCTGTGGATCAACTTGATCCTTCATGGCTCGTTTTTTTTTTTTTTTTTAAGATTTTTTATCTATTTGAGAGAGAGAGCGGGCACGCAAGCTGGGGTGAAGAGCAGAGGGAGAGGGAGAAGTAAGCTCCCTGCGGGGTTTGATTCTAGGACGCTGGGATCACCACCTGAGCTAAAGGCAGATGATTCACCAACTCAGCCACCCAGGTGCCCTCGCAGGCTCATTTTTAACCTTTGTAAAAGAACCCTATTTTCTTAAAGGGCCAGATAGTAAATATTCTAGGCTTGCAGGGCGTATTGTCTTTGTTGTGACCACTCACTTCTGCTGTTTTATGTCAAAACCATCCACAAAAAGCACATAGCTGGGTGATGTGGCTGTGTTTCCATCAGACCTTATTTACAGAGACAGCCCGCCACTGCAGGCATCACTTTGCCAACCTCCAGGTGAGGGTAGCCTGGTTGCTGGGGTTGCTGATGTCATCCTGCTGAGGTGTGGCCCTTCAGGGTTGTCTTCTGAACGCCTGTTGACTGTAGTGTGGCCTCTCCCGGCAGGCTGGCTGAAGCTGTAGCACCAACAAGCCTCCGTTGCTCAGCTCACAGCACGCCTGTGTTCTCTGCCTGGGCTCATGGATTCTCACCCTGGGCACAGCTTAGTTTTTTGTGAAAAACTCAAAGGGATCCCTTTGCAGATTTCTGGAGCACATTCTCTTTACCCTCGTCCTTTACAGCACCTCACCAGCAGATTCCAGCAGCCTTAACCTCCTGGAAATTTGGGGTCTTCCTCCGTTTGACACGCTGTGCTGTATTTGGTTCTCCTGTTGGCGGGCTGGGCGTGGGAAATGCAGCCAGCAGGGCTCACCTTGTTTGTTTACCTTCGCCTGGGGTTGCAGTCCTCAGCTGCCTTTTGTCAGTGTCTGGAAACAGCTGTGTGACATGCTCTGTCCTGTTTTCTAGCTGTTCACAGTAGGATGCAAGTTCAGTGCCTGTTGCTAGTCCCAGTCAGAAGTGGAAGCTTTGTTCTTTTCTTGTGTCGCTAAGCCCTGTTAGTCTCTTTCACTTGGGCGTTTGTCTCCTTCCTTTTCTTTCTTCACAATTTTCCTTTCAAAGAACCTAGACTGTTTGACTCCTGGCATTTCCCAGGGTTTTGATGTTGCTGACAAGACACGAAACCCCAAGAGCATATCTTCACTAAACATTAAGACAGTGCTTCTCCTCATTTGCTCGGGGGATTTGTTTGAATTTTGACTGGGGTCGCCTAGTTCCGTGAGCTGGTGCTCTGTGGGTCCAGCGGAGTTGAGCCTCTCCTGGGGTTGCAGCCACATTTTTCTGCTCTTTCTCGCATCCCATGGTTCTTTGTATCTGTCTGACTTCAGGTGTGCGAGGAGTATATGGGGTGAGATTTCTCCCCAGGAGTTTCTTTTGCTTTTGGTGCAGGCAGACTGAGCTGGGTGGGGGCTAGGGGCCCTTTGCCTGGGCCTAGTCCCCTCTGATGTCGAAGCCTCATGAGGGGAGGTCGTCCCCCATTCTTGATGGGAACCCATGATTTATTTCTCCTTCTTGAAAGGCTCCCTGTGTGGCTGGGCAGCGCTCTGGCAACGCGTAGCTTTCCTGTCCTGTGTCCTGCCTGCTGTGTTGCTGTGGTTGGCAGAGGTCAGGAGGAGGCAGGCCCCTTCCCCCGAGAGCACCACACGGATCTTTGCTCAGCCTTCCTGCCACTCTGCAGCAGCTGCAGGGCCCCTGGGTTCAGTAAACAGGCTATGGGGTCCCTCCTGCCCTGAGTGTAAGGGTCGCAAGTGTCTGCGGCCATGCTGGCTCGGTGCATCCCCCGGAGCGCAGCCAGCCCTTGGCTGAGCCCAGGAGTGGGGCAGCCTGCCAGCTTGGCCACCGCCCCTCCCTTCCCCCGGGCGCTTCTGTCCCATGTCACTCCACAGCTTTGCTAGTGTCTTTAAAACATGGTCTTAGCAGCTTACTGGGCTTGTTTTCTTGTCTTGTAGCTGCAGGGTTCTGAGTCTTCCTGCTCCTCGCTGATCAGAACCCAAAGCACAGTGGCCTCTTACGGAGACAGTAGGTGCTGTCATTGGCCTCCTTCTCACCAGGGGTCCCCTTGTGGGGAACAAGGCCCCAGCCTCCCTGGCGGGGCATGCACCTGGCTGTGCTCAGACCTCATGGTGACCCATGTGTCTTGCCGCTGCCTATGTGGACACACTTGAGATGAACGAGCATGCAGCTTCTCCCTGGACAGAGCTGTGACAGTGTGCACATGGCCGACCACTGTCTGATGGTGCTGAGGAGGTGGACCGTGTGGCTGCTGCTGCCCCAGCTTTTCTTCTGGGCTGGCTGCAGCTGAGAAGGGGAACTTCGGGGGGGAGGTGTGCAGAGCACCTTGGCAGACAGGTTGGGCTGGACTTGGCCCTTCTGCGTGAAGTCCTTCTCCACGGCCCCCCAGGGCAGCTGTGCTGTTCCTGTCCTACTGTATGGATGTCGGGACAGCCCAGAGGGGCTCACTGGGGTGACAGGTGTGTGAGGGCTGCGTGAGCAGCTCTGGGCCTGCTCGAAGTCTTGCTCCGATGTGCATTGGGATGCACAGCAGAGGTTCAGACACTGGAGGGGGGTCCCTGGGGCTGCCCGGGGAGGGGTACCCACCGTGTCTAGGGAGGTGAGCTCAGAGGACATCGCTTGTGCCCAGCACGGCTGACATGGGATTTGTAGCCTGCCTGGTGGGCTTGGCCTCCCTGGGACCTCCTGGCGTTCCCTTCTACCCTCCCGCCCCAGAACCCCCTCAGCTGAGACTGGAGGGAGGCGGCCCTTGAACCTGGGGAATGGGGGATCAGGGCTGGTGTCAGCTCGCCATGTGGTAGTTGAGTCAGGCTTTGCCAGCAGAGCACACAGAGCCGCCGAAGCGCAGTCAGCACATGGAAGGCGCGTGCCCTGAGTGCGCCTGTGGGGGACCCCACGCGGGTTGGCACTGAGCATCCAGGTGAGTGCCCGGGGATGGAAGCCCACTGATGGGAGGGACACGTCCAGCAGCGGGTGAGGGTGTCAGGCCAAGCCGAGAAATCTGCTTGGCAGAACAACTGGAGACCATGTCGCTGCCTGGAGGGTAGCTGAAAGCCTGGGGCGTGTGGAGAGCTTGTAAGCATGTGTGAGAGTGTGTAGAGAGCGTGTGAGCATGTGTGGAGAGTGTGCGTGTGTGTGGGGAGTGTGTACGCACATGTGAGCGTGTGTGGAGCGCGTGTGAGTGCATGTGGAGCAGGGTACCTTTCGTGATGCATCCAGATTTCAGATAAAAAGAGAAAGCCCTGTCTGTTCCCAGAGACAGACAGCAGCTTAGCTGTGGAGGGCAGAGGCTGCGACAGGCTCTGGAGCCTTCAGGGACATCACTTCCTCCACCCGAGGGGTGGTGCTCTCTGTGGGGGACAGCCACTGGGACAGAAGATGGCGCTCTTGGGGGGGGTACTAGGACAGAGGACCGTGGGCGGGGGGGTGGCGCTGGGATGGAGGATGGCGGTCTCTGGTGGGGGTGCTGTGATGGAGGATGGTGGTCTCAGGGTGGGGGGCGCTGGGACGGAGGACAGTGGTCTTGGGGGTGGCGCTGGGATGGAGGACGGTGGTCTCTGGGGGTAGGGGGGCGCTGGGACAGAGGAGGGCAGTGTGGCATGGAGGCACAGGGCTAAGCCTGGGATCTGACTGTAGAGGCGCAGAGTGTTTCCTGACAGAGTTTGGGAGAACAGGGTGGCAGTAGCTTCTGGGACATGTCATCGGTGTGCTTCCGTGTGACCTGCTGCGGTTTCTCAGCTCCCTCTCAAGCTCCTGGTGTGAACTGGCTGTGTCCCCACAGCAGTTGCGTGTTCTTGATTCTGGAGGGGGAGGGAGGCTGGTCTTTCTTTGCCAGTCAGAGCAGAGTGTCTACATTGTCCGGTAGTGGCGGGTTTCTTTGAAGCTGCCAAATCACGGAAAGAGTGAGCACCCCAGCCCTTCACGCTCTCTTGCAGGTGAATGCTCCCTTCAGCTCTCCCCACTGCTCAGCTGCAGGGCTATGGGCAGCCCACAGGGAGGGAGGCTTGAGCAGGCTGGATTCTGGCTGGGCCGCTGGTTCCTGACCTAGAGGGGCAGTGGAAGTGGGGAGCAATAGGCCTGCTTTACGGGGGTGGGTGGGTGACGGCGCCATGTGGTCAGAAATGGCCCGCTGGCAGGTGGGCAGCTGGGGGTGGGAGGGGGTTCCCAAGACTGACAGCTCCAGGAATGGGGAGGGCATCTGGAGGTTTCTGGGTTTTGGGGTGAAGGTGCCGTGGGCATGTGTGGGGTGGAGATGTGGTCCTGGATGTGTGGGTGAAGGCGGCAGGGTCAGTCTTGGTCCAGGGTTCTCCAATGTCATCAACTGGCGGCTGGTGAGTTGGGGGTGTGTGCCTCCACCGAGGGAGAGGATCCCCAAGAGGCTGGGGAGGGTGGATCTGGGGCAGGGGGGTAAGGGAGCCCAGGAAGTAGGTCCTGTCCAGATGGAGGGACAAGACAGAGATGGATTCGTGCCCCCAGAGTGGGGCCAAACCCTAGTGCTGGGTGGTGAGAGCCTCCCCTCACATCCTCTGGGGTGCCTTTGTGCCCCTCTTGTGCCAGGGGCATGCTCCATCCCTGCCCACCTGTGCTCACGGCCAGGGTTTCCCTGCAGGTCTGAGTTCACCGACACCATCCTGTCTGTGCACCCCTCCGATGTGCTGGACATGCCTGTGGACCCAAATGAGCCCACGTACTGCCTGTGCCACCAGGTGTCCTATGGGGAGATGATAGGCTGCGACAACCCAGACGTGAGTGTGGGCGCTGGCATGGGCTGCGGGTGGGGCTGGCATCCCTGGTAGTGGGGTGGGGGGTGTGGGTGCTGGGCACGGGCTGCGGCCTGGGGCGTGCACCCTGGTGTCCGGCCCATGGAGTGCAGGAGTCCTGACTGTGGCCTGTCCTCTACTTTGCAGTGTCCTATTGAGTGGTTTCACTTCGCCTGCGTGGATCTGACCACGAAACCCAAAGGAAAATGGTCAGTATCGGGCACTGCTCGGTCCTTCCCTGTCTGTGGGGCATCCTATGTGCCGCTCCCCTCTGAACCAGGCCCCCCAATGCAGCGCTCTTGGTTCTTGGGGCTGAGCTGCTGGGGGGACAGCTGCTGCCCTCCTCACCTGGGGGCAGGTCTCTAATGACATTTGTGAGATTCTTGGAGAGAAGAGCTGTTTTGATTCTTTTTTTTTTTTTTTTTTTTTAAGATTTTATTTATTTGACAGAGAGAGAGAGACCACAAGTAGGCAGAGAGGCAGGCAGAGAGAAAGGGGAGGAAACAGGTTCCCCGCAGAGCAGAGAGCCTGATGCGGGGCTCGATCCCAGGACCCCGAGATCATGACCTGAGCTGAAAGCAGAGGCTTAACCCACTGAGCCACCCAGGTGCCCCTGTTGTGCCTCTATTTATTCAGGTAGAGATACTTTGAAATACAGGTGTGAAATGGAGAGCTCTTGTCCCTGGAGAAGTTTTGGGAAAAGGCAAAGAGCACAAACATTAAGATGGTGCAAACTTGGGCACAGGCTGGGCACCTGCTGAGGGGCCTCTGTTGCATTGGGAAGGTGCTCAGAGAGCGTGAGCCCTTTCTGTTCCTGATCCTTGGGTTCAGTGGCTGCAGCAGCTTTTGTGTTGTTCTGAGATTTCTGAGGTTTCAATAAAAACCGGGTTTTATTTATCTGTGCTTAGAAGGGACGTATACCCTAAAATGAAATCCTGGAAATCTTGTTCTCCAGCGGAGAGGAGAAAGCCCAAAAGGACAGACTGTGTCATCCCAGGTTTCAGGGGGTGCTAGCAGCCCCGTGCAGACCTGGCACCGGGTCACCTCAGGGAGTCTGAGCAGCCATGGGACTCGCCCCTGACAGAGCCCTGCCGCCTGGGCAGGCAGCTGAGTGGGAGGTGGGAGGGGGGCTGCTGGCCCACCTGTGTGGCAGGTGTGGCTCGTGGTGGGGCACGAGGCAGGGAGATTTGGTTTGAGTTGTTTGTGGAAATCCTGGGTGGAAGAGTCCGCAGGTGATGGAAAATCATTTTGCTTCTGGGAGGGCCGTGCAGATGGGCATCCCCCCACCATGTGGTAGGAGCAGGGCAGGACAAGCAGTGTCAGGAAGGCCGGGTGGGCCCCGCCACTGCTGTGTAACTCTGTGTTTCTCTGGGGTCTTTCCAGAAACACAGTGTTCAGGCAGCTTCCCTCTTAAGTAAGCCTGCAGCTCTGACACGTGTTCATGCCGCACAAGTGTTACGTAGGCCTGTTTGCTGTGGGGGGGCTTGGCTTCCTCTGGGGCTGCAGCAGTGGCATGCTGGGTGCTCACCTCCAGGCATGGACCCGACCCTTGCAAACAGGCCTAGGGCTGGGATGGGCCCATTAGCCGCCTCCTGAGTCAGGAGCCAGGAGGGCCTAGGTGAGAGCAGGGTCACCAGGGAGCCCTGGCTAGTCATGCAGGTCCTAGGGCCCGTCAGCACGCCCGGCTGAGTGTGCCACACACCGTGCTCCACTGTGCTTGGTCCCCAGTGTGACTGCGGGTGTGGCCTCCAGTGTGATCAGTGGCGACCACAGGAGGTCCCAGGGATGACCAGTTAACTTGACTTTGAGGAGCATTCGTGGACAGAAACAGTCTTCCTCACTGACTTGTATTTGTCGACTCCAGAACATGCTGGCCAGGGTGACTCACTGGGGTTCCCCTTGCCGGGGGTTTCCCGATGCATCAGCTGTGTGCTCTGAGCACTGTCCCCTGGCACTGTCTGGTGGCCCGGGGAGGCAGGCTGGGGCCTCGGCACACACAGGGTTGATCCCTGTGTCTTTCTTCTCAGGTTCTGTCCACGGTGCGTTCAGGAAAGGAGGAAGAAGAAGTAAGGTGGATGCCTGGACCAGAAGAGCAAGTTAATATATTCCTTCTTCACGTTGCAATATTTTCTCTTCATTTTAAAACTACCTTGTTTCCAATGATATTTAAGAACTCAGTGGCCAGTTGTGATTCTGGAGACTTCCTAAAACAAACAAGAATCCTCCTGAGCCCTGTTTGCACGAGGAGTGGTCTTACGGGGACTCGTCATGGTGACTTTGTTCTGGAGACGTAGTACCGGCTCTGTGCCGGGGAGCTGAGCCTTCCATGGGCGCCGTGGTGGGGACCGTCCAGCCCATGCACTGCCATCCCTCTGCAGCTGAGGCGCAAGCCCGCATGCTCCGTCCTGTTTTGCTGGGGCTGCGCCAGCACGTCGGGCAGCGTATCTGTCCCCTGCAAGGCCTTGCCGGAGTCGTCTGCTGTGTTTGGGCTCTGCACCGGGGCCCATGGCCTTGCCTGGGCAGGGTGGGCTCTCCTTGGGGGCAGAGCGCTCTGTTTCACTGTGCACTGCCATTTCCGTCTGAGCTCCCCGTTCCCTCCGTGAGGGTTTCATCTTCTGGAGTAGACGCTCTCCGTCAGCACACAGCAGTCGTTCCCGTGACTGGCCCGCGGGAGCCGTGTGACAGACAGCGGGTGCGCCGTTTTCTCTGGGAATTCCTGACATTTTTACTGTGAAGATGAAATTATCATAACAGCATGGAGATCGTGGGTCCGTGTGTCTGTGAAGTGAGTCTAGTCCAGTGAGACCTGATTTTAAACCTGTTCTGTCGCACACGGGTCGGTCAGCAGCTCCTGTCCAAGGGGACGACGATCATGTGATACGATTTGTGAATTTCTTGTGCCACGCAGTCCTGGAATGAAGCTGGCAAACTAGAGTGTGTCTTCTGTTTAATCTGCATTCACCAAACCAGTCCTGAACCATGTTTTTGGGAATAGTTGGGGGAAATTACATATGCTTGGCGTGTTGCGATCCATTTGTGATGGTGTGTAGTGTGACTTCTGGGAACATGCGTGGACTCGGAGACCCTCCGGCACACGTGTCTAAAGGAGTCCGAGGAGTCCTGAAGAAAGGGAAACCTGTTTTTGTCCTCGAGGCAGGAAAAGAAATCCAGGAGGCAGGGTCAAGATGTGAAATTCCTAACTGACGAAGAATCTTGCCTTCTTTATCAGGAGGCCTTCTGGAATGGTGCACCTGTTTCCTGCAGTGGCCGTGTCTACCATATGTTCCCACCTTTTCTCTAATATTTCACCAACGGCAGGAGATGACGTGGAGAGAAACTTGGGGGACTGTGTCCTGCGCGGCCACTCCTCACCAAGGCCGTTTCCAGTCGGTAAATGAGAGGTGAATGTTAGCTTTGACATCAGAGGGCTGTGAGCCCCTATCTGTGGTTCTCAGCGGGTCGGCTGGCGCCCCACATGCTGTCCCACCGTCCCTTCGGGGCTTCCAGGGCACTGCAGGTGGGGTCAGTTCGGAGAGCGCCACCCTTTTTGTCCCGTGCTGCATGGTTAGGGTAGGGGGTCAGCAGCTGGCCTGACGAGCTATCCCAGAGCCGGTGCCTTCCTGCTGCCCAGAAAGGAGGGGTGGAGGGCTCAGGAGAAGCACCGGCCGGCTCGTGCTCCTCAGTCTCAGCTGTGGCCAAAAACGAGGCTCGTTTGTATTTAGTCACTTAGATTTTTGTTAACACAGCTGTTTAAAGATTGTGGGGAATAAATTGTGGAAAACTGTTTCCTTCACTCTTTGACCAGTCTCTGTGGAGAGGGCAGGTGAGCGCACGAGTTTGTGATGGCCCTTTGGAAGCTGCTTTACTATTTGTACTGCATCGTAGAACACTTCCTGGCCGCCGTCATCATGGGAAACCAGTGCCCAGGGGGTGGCTTGGTGGCCGTCCGGGGTGCCTGGTCCGGGGCCTCGCTCACAGCGCAGGAGGGCTGGCCAACTTCCCTGTGGGGTCTTGCGTGTCGCCAGGTTACAGCCCAGCCGCCGGCCTTCTCTTTGTAGGTCTCTGTACCCGCTGTCTCTTGCGTTCACCTCTGTCGGTTACGTAAATATACCTGGAACAACATGCGTAGGTAGAGCTTTGGAGAAGACAAGACGTGAGCAGAATAGGAAGATTCCCTCCCCAGAACGCTGTGTCAACACGGATCCGCTGCCCCTTCCTGACTGCGAGTGCTGCCCATAGTTGCAGCGACACCCAGCAACGGCTGTTTGCTGAGGAGACCAGGTCCTCCCCCTGGCCTGGCTCCAGCCCTGCAGGGGTGGCTGGTGCCCCTGACGATCACGCCGTGAGGCCTGGCCGCCGACAGTGGGGTGATTCCCACCAGATCCTGTGCGCCTGCCGGGCACCAGACCTGACCCGGAGGTGGCTGCAGAGCCCTGTTCCTTGGGTTGAGTGGGGGTCTGGGCTGGGCCCAGAGGTCCCTGTCTCAGCTGCATCTGAGCCAAGGGCCCTGGGGCTTCCTTGCAGGGAAGGGGCACCTTGTTCAGAGGACACTCATGGCCCTTGCTCTCAGTGCTCTCTTAGCAGTCAGTAGGTTGACAAATAGCTTCTTGTTTTCCTGTAGAAGAACACATGTTGCACTTGCAAAAATAATGTGTGAAACTGAGCCCCCCGCAGCTGTTGCCCATGGAGCTGCCGGCTGGGCTGCAGACGGAGCTGGGCCCGCGTGCCTGGGGTCCCCAGGTGGCCGGCTGTGAGATGTGACCGGCCACGGGAGCCTGGTGGCTTCCGGTCTGCGCAGGGATGACGGAGATTTGCTGGGACATGTGGGGACGATGGTCCTCTCCCGGGCGGCCACAAGGCACTCCTGACTTGTAGCTGGCTGCCCAGGGCAGGGTTGGCTTTGAGCAGTAACGCTGTCCCGAGAGCAGCTTCCCTGTGTGGCCGTGGCTGGAATTCGGACACTTATCATGGGCCTTGGAGATGGAAGGTTTTCCCTAGTTGTTAGTGAGCCGGGACTGTTCTTCATTCCCTGTGCTGAGAGGAGTTTTAAAACAAAGTCTAAGAAAAATGTTCTCATTCAGAAGAGAGTTCTATGAAGTTTCTTGCTTTCTACAAATGTATTTTGTGGTGTTCACTTTTACCACATTTCATCCAAAAAGATGATGCAGCTTTAACACGAATGTTACATTTTATTTTCAAGGAATTATCTATGTTCCCTTTGTAAAGGAAAGATAATATTGTAAATCTTTTTATTAAATAATGTAGAGATGTATATCTGTATTTTTGGATCATGTTCTAGATTATGGATATATTGTTTAATAAATGAAGTATTTTTTGGAACAAAGGTTTGAGAAGGAGTCATTCTAGGAAATGATAAACGCTCAGTGCTATGGCCAGAGATGGTAAGTGGACCCTCTGGTAAACTGTGAGGGTCACGGCTTGGCTGCCACTGTGTCCGGAACCAGTCCCCAAGCCCCCGAGAAATGTCCTTGTGGACTACTTGGAGTTGCTCTTTTATAAAGGCATAAAGTGCTTTCTCTGGAACAGAGGTCTGCGCTCCCAGATCTGCGCAGGCGTGAAGACCCCTTGGGGAACTAAATAGTACTTAGGACATTTTTCTTTGAGGAGTATTAATGGTCAGGGTCCTGAAACCCAGCTTGGTCACCACAACGGACAGGCCCAGCCTCTCACCTGTTTTCCGGATGAAAACCAACTCACAGACCCAGAGTCCTAGCTGGAGGTCGGGTGAGGTTCTGACGGAAGGGCCTGGAATGCCTCCACAAGCACACATTCCCTCTGGGCACTCCAAGGGCCCCTGCAGCCATTTGTTGGGGTGACTGCTTAGAAAAAGGGAACACCAGTGGGGTGGGTGTGGTAATCTTCACTGGCTCTGAGTGTTTAGTAAGTCCCAGAGGTCCACAATGCCCCTGGTCGACTAATCCAGGAAGACCTACCATTATCAAGTGACAGGTGACATTTGTCTGAGTGTGTCCACAGACTCTGTGTTTGTCTTCCCACAGCTGGAATGTGCCATTGAAACAGACTTGAAAACCAGCAGAATCCCACATGGATTCACATTGACCTGTGGAGCAAGGGCTATTACCATAGGGAAGCCAGGTGGAAGTCTTTGGAATGTCCTTTCCTTGCCAGGACAGTCATCCAAAGGCAAAATGCATCCCTAGTGGGAAGACTTAGTGGTGACGTATGACATACTTTACACACATGGACAGGAGGTGGGTGGGTTATAAGGAATGTAGTTTTCTGGAGACACAGGTGATGCGTCCAGCTGCAGCTGCTGTCCCCATCTGGAATCACTGCCAGAGTTGGCACATGGCATGCTGTCATGGATCTGGCCTGTGCTCGTTCTCTCGGCCAATTTGCAACACCATGAGGAGCCATTTGTCCTGTGTGGCGAAGCCAACAGGGCACCTCCACCGGCTGGCCTCCGTCCTGTGGACCAGATGTCTTCGTTATTTTAACATCCCCAGAGCATCCTGTCGGCTCCACTGTCAGCATCTGTAACTGGGTAACTGGATGAGCCCAGCAAGCGCTGGAGATGCCCCGGGGGGACGGCAGGGAGCCAGAGGGCGGGAGATGAGCCCCACTCCTGAACCAGGTTCACTGTGGCAGCAGTTTGATGTGGGGTGTTGGGAGAAAAGGCAGAAGGGGAGCACCGACGTGATGGGGATTGCAGGAGCAGGCTGGTGGGGGGGTGTTCCGGAGTTGGTGGAGGGAGCAGCCTGTAGCGGGAGCGCGGATTAGGACTTGGAGCCCTGGAGGGCTGGCTGCCCTGCTGTGGGTAAGGTGGGGGGGCAGGTGTTGCAGAGCTCAGGGAGGGGGTGCCCCGGGGAGCTGGGACCCAGCGGCAGCTTGCACCCCTGAAGGGAATGTGACGAGGCCAGGAGGTGGCATAGTGCTGCAGGGCTGATGCCACTGGGACATCCATCAGCCACCCCTGCCTTTGTCTTCTTCAGGTGCCCGGGCCTCACAGCCCCAAAGGCCAGAGGTCAGAGGGCCTGCCAGAGCCCATGGTGGGGCTGTAAGAGGCAGCATTCCTGCCGGGCTGCCTTTGCTTCCCGCCTGGGGCGGTGTCCGGGCCACCCAGCTCTGGCATGGTCCCTCTGACCTCTTCTCACTTGAGCCTTTGTTCAGGAAAAGGCTCAGGTTGTGTGGCACAAGCAGCTTTCCGAGCCTTGTGGCTTCTGCCTGTGATGCACACCCGACCTGCTGGAGGTGGATCAGCACAAGGTGCTGGGTTCTTGGGAGCCAGAGTTCCCTGCTAGGAGCAGGGGTTGGGGGTAGGAGGGACAGTTCTCTGTGGGTAGCCAGAGACCCCTGGGGGGAGCAGAGTTCCCTGGGTGGGGGGAGCCAGAGACCCCTGGTGGGGCAGAGTGCCCTTGAGGGGGCAGAGATCCCCTGAGGGAGCCAGAGACTTCTGGTGGGGGACAGAGTTCCCTAGGGGGAGCCCCGCAGCCGGGCAAGGAGCGGGGTGGTTATGTGGATCACGGTAGAGCCGGCCCTGGGGAAGGGCTGGGAGAGTGTGCGAGGACCCCTGCTGGGCAGTGCCGGACACCGGTCCAGGCCGGCTGTCCCGCGGTGTGTAGCGGACCGAAGTACGCGCCCGCCACGGTGCACCTGCTGCCCGTAGGGTTGGGGGCGGGGCCTGGAGGTCGTCCCATCCCGTGGGGAGGCGGGGCCGGAGGGCGCCAGTGCGCAGGCGCAGTCGGTCCCGGCTCGGGCCCTAAGGCGCTTGCGGCGGCGGGTCGGGGGCGCGGACGTGAGTGTGCGCGCGCGGCCGCCGGGGCCTGGGCCGAAGGCCCTGGGTCAAAGGGTCGGGGACGCGGTTAGAGGCGGTGGGGGGACCGCGGGTCGGGGCGGCGGGGGCGTCCTTGAATGCGAGTCCGCGGGGCTGCTTCCCCTCCCCGGAGTGGGTGGCCCCGCGTCCGGTCCTCGGCCCGTGGGCTGCCCCGACGGCCGCGTCCCCGGACGCACAGGATGTGCGCAAACTCCGGACCCGGCTCGGCGGCCCGGGGAGCCCGCGGAGGGGCGCGCCCCTGTGCCTTTCCCTCTGTGCTTTCAGCCGAGCTGGGGGGCTGCGCTGCTGGCTGGTGCCTGCAGCGCGGTGTGCAGCCTGGAAGCCTCCCTTCCCTTGCTTGTCGTTAACTCCTGCACTGTCCAGACTTGTGCCGGCGGGTACCCATTTACCGTTTCAGCCATTCTTCATCGCATAATTCAGGGCATCCGTCCGTTTAGTGCCTAGACTCTGGTTTCGTCCTGAAGCAGGAGGGCTAAGAGGGAGCTTTGTTACTGCAAGTGTTCGACTCTGACTCGACCAGCTCCCAGCCACTGTCCTGTGCCCAGAAGGGCCTTACAGGGAAGCCCAGCCGGGTCAGGCTCAAAGGCAGCCCGCCCAGCGCCTCCGCCCCCATACCCTTTGGCTGGTCTCTCCAGGAGGCTGTAACCTCATGGCCTCACCCTGGAAGACTGCCTCTGTTCCTGGACTGCAGCTGGGCTTGGGTTGTGGTTTCTGGATCTGCAGGTCCTACCGCTTGCTTTTTAGGGCAGGAGCGATGGGGCCCCATGTGGTGCCCAGGCAGCTGGTGTGGCTCTCCCGGTGGCAGGCGGTGTGCGCTCGGGGAGCATCTGTGCAGCACAGGACACGGGCAGGGGTGTCCAGGATCCCCAGCCTGCTCAGCCCTGGGGGGGCCCTGGGCGCCAGCCCCCTGGTCCGAAGGAGCAGCTCCTCCACGCCCCCTGGTGCGCCGGAGGTGGTACTGACCCAGCAGCGCTACCCCGTGACACGGCTGCCCTTCTCGGCGGTGTCTGCTGAAGACCTGGCAGCCTTTGAACGCATCCTCCCGGGCGGGGTCGTCACAGACCCAGAGGTGCTGGAGGCTTCCAATGTGGACTGGCTGAGGACGGTCCGAGGTGAGTGAGGGTCTGGCCACAGCACGTGCTCCAGGGGGGGCTGTGACGACGCTGGGGTGGAGGGGCGTGCCTGGCACACACACCCTCTCATGCTGAGGAGAGGCTGTGTTGTAGTTTCAAACTGTTGTGAAAACAACATTCCTGGAGGTTTATCGGTGCTGCGTGATGTCTGCAGAGTAAAAGACAAGGTGGCCGGCTGCTCTGAGAGATGCGCGTGAACTCCCAGGGCCTCTTTGACAGCCAGCACAAGCTGGGTGACGGAGGCTCGCCTGCTCCCAGCTCTGGAGGCTGGACCTGCTCCCGCTAGAGGCTCTGGGGGGCTCCTTCCTGGGGGCTGCAGGCGTCTGTGTCCCTTTAAGGACACCTGGCATCACCTAAACCCAGGACCTTGTCTCAGGACCCTTAACTTGATCACATATGTCATGACCCTTTATGTAAATCAGGGCACGTGCACAGGTTCTGAGGGATGCGACACGGACACACTTTGGGAGGCCCAGTCTGCCTGCGGCAGCTCCTTCAGGCAAGAAGCAGGGGGCTGGTTGGGCCGCCCGAGCCCCGCTCCTCCCAGCACATGTGTCTGCAGCAGCACACGCCTGTGCCAGCTTGGGAGTTCTCAGCCTTCCAGACCCAGTGCACCCCTTCCCACAGGAAAGATCCTGTCACTCTGTGTTCTGTCCTGCAACATTTTCAGAGATAATGTAAGCTGCCTTTTCAGTTACAAAACACAAAACACCAATACGATGTTCTTATAGAATATTAAAGAGACCCAGAAGAGAGCTTGCTTACAACAGAGTCACGAATTACACATGTAATGCCAGGACACTCCAGCAGCCAGGTAGGGCTGGATCCGGCGCCCATGGGACTTGACAGAGCATTGTGTATGTGTGTTGGGGGGTGTCCAGTGGCCGCGACTCACCATGGCAAGGGCTGTGCGTGAGCTGGAAGAACTCCGAGAGCGGGTCTGAACCAGCTTGCGAACTGACCTATGGTGCAGAGTCTGTAGCACGTGGAGGTGGGGTGTGGGACACGCTATACTCACAGGGAGAGATTCGGGTTGGATACCTTGGAAGTCCTCAGACTTCTAATTTTTTAAAGACTGTTATTTATTTATTTGAGAGAAACAGAGATAGTGGCAGACAGAGCAAGGACAGCACAAGCAGGGAGGAGAGGAAGACACAGGCTCCCCGCTGAGCAGGGAGCCTGACACAGGGCTCTATCCCATGCAGACGTTTAGCCAGCGGAGCCACCCAGGCATCCTCCTTGGACTGTTCCTTGTGGCCCAAGTGCCCAGAGTGGAAGGGCTTCCAGCCCCACCCTGCCTGCTAAGTCAGGACCCCCCGGGGCTGGGGGATGGTGCCTGCTGGGAGCCCACTGCCCGCACAGGGCCTGCAGGTTCACATGCGTGCTTCCAGAGGCAGGAGAGGGTGCTGTCCATCCTGGGCTCAACCAGGCCGGGCCCTGGTCCTGGCCGACCCTGCAGCCTGAGCGCCAAACCCCACAAACTGGGGATGGGGCTCCCACCTCAGAGGTAAAAGCCCAGGGTGCTGGGTACTCAAGACTTGGGATGTCTTCCTCCTGGGGCTTCCAGAGTACACACTGTAACTGGGATGGGGCCTGTCTGTCCCCCCCCCCCCCGACAGGACTTAGCTGTGTGCTGGGGGCTCTTCCTGGAAGCCTCATGTGGCTCGGTCTGTGTCTGTGTGCTCGTGTGGACGACCCCCGCCCCCCGGCTGCTGACACCTGAGCTCAGGAGGGCGGCACTGGGGTGTATGTGTCTCTGAATCTGCAGGACTTGGTGTACAACACCTGCCCAGTGGGTGTCTGTTGGAGTTGTTTGTTCAATTTTTTTTTAAGATTTTATTTATTTGACAGACAGATAACACAAGTAGGCAGAGAGGCAGGCAGAGAGAAAGAGTGGAGGAAGCAGGCTTCCTGCTGAGCAGAGAGCCCAATGCAGGGCTCGATCCCAGGACCCTGAGACCATGACCTGAGCCGAAAGCAGAGGCCCTACCCCACTGAGCCACCCAGGCGCCCCTGTTTGTTCAATTTTTGTCGAAATAACCCCTTTATGTAGCTGTTTTTGGGGGAGAAAGCATGTCTAAACTTATGATCATTTAATGTTTTAGTCTTAAGAGTTCTATAGAAAATGCAGCTAGTAAAAGCTGATTAAGATTTTATAATTTTCTTAAAAATGGACTTTATTTGAAATGGAAACTGTCCAAAAATTAGATCACTTTGCTCATGGGTGGACCCCATAAACTTCAGTGAGCACTTCACTGTGTGTCTGCACAAGGTGCAGGGCTGGGGACAGGATGGACAGGAGGCTCACCCGAGGGGTGGTGGCATGAACGGTGGGCTGCCTGCCAGGTGGGCATGCCTGCCCAGGAGAGTCCCCCAGCACACGCTGTTTCCTTGGAACCTGGGGAAGCCATCTGGAAGGGTGTTCTGGGACAGGAATAGCCAGTGCAAAGCCTCTGAGCAAGTCTATGCTTGGCATGTTTGGGGAGCTGTAGACCCATGTGTGGCTGGAGTGGACGGATGATGGGGAGGTCAGAGAGCGAGAGGGCTGGGTTATCGATACCTCGAGGGCCAGGTGAGTCCCAGTAACTGATGGGGAGCTACTAGGAGGTCAGGAGGAGAGAGGCCCACAGCCTGGTATGGCTGCCGTGTCGAGGAGAGGCTTTCACTCCCTGGGCATGGAAGCTCGGAGGAGAGCTGAGTCTTCGATGGGTGGTTAGGTGAAATGGTGTCAGCTCTGTGTGTGTGCAAAGAAGAGTCTGGGATGTGCTGATGGGTGTGTAGGGTGTCAGAGGAGCCAGGATGCAGGGACCCATGGCCTGAGCAGTTGCAGAGGTAGCCTTCCACTTGCTGAGGAAAATGGCAGGAGCACCAGGTCTGTGGGGAAACTGGAAATCTGGGTCTGGACAAGTCCAGTTGGACATGCGAAGGGGCCCGCTGGACTGTGAAGCCAGCTAGCCCAGGGCTGGGTCCATGCAGCTCCGATGTCCAAGGAGGCCAGTGGCCGCTGTGGTCCATGGGGGCGAGCAGGCACCAGCCAAGGGGACTGAGTAGCTTGGGCCGGGGCTGAGGAGGACCTGGTGCATGTGTGAAGAAAGGGGAGCCAGGGGACGCCAGGGGTTGCCTGGTCAGGATCAGCTGCTGTACCGGGGCCCATGGCAGGAGGTTGTCTGTAGCGTGGAAGGGACATGCCTCCGGTTGGAGCTGTTCGTGGGGGCTTGGGAGGCCCCCATCTGGTGGAGGCACTGGGCTTAGGGGGACAGAGGGGCCGGGGTGGGGGTTGGGATGGGGTCAAGAGAAGATGTTTTTGCCTTTTCGGGGCCGGTTTCAGACAAGACTGTTGTCGCAGCAGATTAATAGGTGGATGGGAATGATCTGGTTGAGAGGGAAGAACTGGTAGCTTGGTGAGAAACAGGATCGCCGTGAAGTTGTCCAGGAGCTGGGCATGGAGGGACCCAGGCCCTCCTGGGGCCGTAGTCTTGGGAGGAATGGCAGTGGGGGCCCATGCAGAAGCAGGTGGGGGCATTGCTAACATGAGGATGGGGGAGACAGTGAGAGCTATGGTCTGTGGGGGGGGGGGGGGTGCAAGAGAGACTGCTGCCTGTCCCCTAGTGCGCGGGACAGGGAGGGCCCGGGGACTGCTGCCTTGGGGTGGGAGGAAGCAGGCCGGGAGGTTGTTTCTGGAGCCTGGGGAGCAAGACCCTCAGCCCAGGTTCCCAGGGGTGGAGTGTTGGGCCCCAGGGCTGAGCCGCTGGGAGAGAAGATTTGGAGGCGAAAGTCTCAGCCATCAGGTTCAGCAGCGTCCTGCAGAGGTCGAGTTGGTGTCTGCCACAGTCTGTCTGAAAGCGGCCACACCAAACAAATGGGCATTGGGCTGTTCCTGCAGGGCTCCACGTGCAGGTGTAGCTCAGGCTGGGCTTGGCCTGAGTGTGGGGTTTGCCAGCCCTAATGTGGCAGTGTGCTCTGGTCCCTGGGAGGAAGGCAGGGAGCCCGCCAGCCGGGAGTAGGCATGCTGTGACAGGTGACAGGCCGTGTCCCAGGAGGGTCCTTCCGTAGCCCACGCCCTGGGCGTCCCAAGTGAGCGAAGGCCTTGGAGGGCTGCCGGGAAGCCAGGAGGGTGGAGAAGCAGGTGGTGGGCAGCACGGGGACTGTGCTGCTGAGACCAGGAACTGGCACTCAGTCTGCCTTTCTCGAACGGAGGGACGAGAGTCTCAGGCCAGAGAGGCTCGCAGCCTTAGCTCCTCCCTGCCTGTCCCCTCCAGAGCTCGGCTCTGCTCCTTCTGCACTGAAGCCTTTCCTGCTTCTGTTTTCCCTTCTGTTCTTTTGAGTCCATCCCTCGACTTAAGAGACTCTGAGCACATGAGAGAGAAGACCAGGGCATAGATGAATGTTAGTGAACCGCGGGGCAGCCCGTCTGCAAAGTCCTTTCCTACTTCCCCCGACACGTTCCAGAAGCCAGTGCCGTCATCAGCCGGCAGCATGCTGACGGCTGCCTCCCTTTGGCCGTGTCCTAAGGTGGACAGTAGACTGCTAAGGCCTCCTGGAGGCTCGGGGACAGGGACGTGCAGGGAGAGCCAGTTACTTAAAAATTGTTAGATTTTTGTATCAAGCCAGTTGTGAAACACAGCTGTTATTAAAAATTAATATGTAAGTGTACGATTAAATCATATTTAATATAAGGATTGTAAATATTAGTAACTCAGACTTTCCTAAAAAGCATGTAAGCTAAGAACTGCAGCCAGATCTCAAAGCTACGTGAGAGGTCACTGACACGGTGGGGGTGGGGGGTGTCCTGTGCCTCCCGCCTCCCGGGAGCCTCCTCACCTGCTTGTGCACTTGGAATGAAGTCAGAGGGCCAGAGAGAGCCTGCTTGTCTTGGGGAGCCCATGGTCAGGAACCCCGAAGCGCGGGCATCCAGGGATGCATCCTGGCATCCCATCAGTCATCACAGCTTAGAGCCGCCACCTGATGCATAGTGCCCCGCGTAGATGAAACACATATGGGAGGGGGATGGGTAGTCCCGCCCCACGGTGGGAAGTCAGGTACTAACACAGGTGGAGGGGTGGATCTGGACAGGTCGCTGGCCCGACGTCAAGTGTCTCCCCACAAGATGTGCAGTTAGGTGGGGGAAACACGGCCCCTCCCAGCGAGCAGCCAGGCAGGTGCCCCAGCCGTGGCCTCCCTGCCCAGAGAGGTGGGGCCCATGTCTGACACCTCGCCCTCGTCCCTGAGGTTCCTGGGCTTGGTGCTGACCCTGGTTGTGCGGGTAGCCTGCAGAGGAAGGAGGAAGAGGAAGGAGGACCTTCTTCTGGAGGGTAGACTGAGCGCTGCCTTCTGTGTGTGTAATGTGTCCTTGGTGTTGCAGGTTGTAGCAAGGTGCTGCTCAGGCCCCGGACCTCCCAGGAGGTGGCTCGCATCCTCAGGTAAGGAGCGCACGGGGCCCCTGGGCGGGGGTGGGCGACTGGGAGGGCACACGATGGAGGGTACGCGACTGAGGAGGACACGCGAAAGCAAGCCCTCTTCCCTCCAGATGTAGACCGTGGTGAGGTTTTGTTCCTCTCGCTTCTTCCCTGCCCGGTGGGGTTAGGTACTGTCACGTTGCGTCTTCCCCATTTGGCCATATCTGTGACCATCCCTCTGTGCTCCTTAGGCTTCCAGGCCAGTTTCTGGTGAGGTGAGGTGAAAGGGAGGTGAAAGGGACACGTTGGGTGGAGGGGCTGCAATGCTTTTGGTGAACAGCAGGGGGTGCCGCTGGCACCTGCATTTTGCAGTGTATTGTGCAGGGAGAGCCTTGGCCTCTCAGGATGTTCAGGTACGAATACCAACCTGTCTGTGATCTGGACTGTGCAGACTTGTGGCTCGCTGCCGTTTTGGGTGGCCCTGGGCCTCCTCAGACCCGCCGGCAGTGCACAGGGACCAAGGGTGCCGCCCATGGAGGTCACGGCAGGAAGACGGGGGACTCCGGGTTCGGTGGGCTTGCAGCCAGGGTTGGCCTGGATCACGTTGCACAGGGATGGTGGTGCAGGGGGAGGGCAGAGAGCCCTGATGCCTGTCCTGTGCTTGCCCCAGGTACTGTCATGAGAGGAACCTGGCTGTGAACCCGCAGGGGGGAAACACGGGCATGGTGGGGGGCAGTGTGCCCGTCTTTGATGAGATCATCTTGTCCACCACCCTGATGAACCGGATCATCAGTTTCCACAGCGTGTCCGGTAAGCCTGCACTGTGGCCGGGTGGTGAGGGGTACAGGCTGGGGAGGAGAGGCCCGGCTTTGTCTGCCCTGGGGGTGCTGTCCAGGGGTCACTTAGGTGGTTTGTGCTGTGGGTCTGCGCTGAAGGGCATGGGCTGTTGCTGCAGCTCCTCCAACTATGATATTTTCTAACCAGGACGGCTCTTTTTGCCCTTGTAAACAGGGCACAAAGGACGGGGTACAAGGAGGTCTCGAGGTGCTTTCCGCTCAGCGGCCCCAGCAGTCTCTCCAGCACGGCATTTTGGGCGGGTCATCCTCTTTGCTGGGGGCACCTGGGCACCATAGCTCTGTGCCAACAGTGCTCCAAGTTCCACGTCCTCTGGTGGTGGGACTCCCCATCCCGGGTGGGGACGCTGCCGTATAGCGATGCTCATCCCTTCCCTTCCATGAGTGTGTGCGTGAGGATTTCCTTCTTTATTTTTCCCCATCAGTTTTTCTTTTTCTTCTTGATAAAAGATAACGGTAACTTCTGGGGGACAGGTTGGGGGACATGCTCCTTGTCCTTGAGGGGGACCCCTGTTCCAGGTGGCTAACCCCCACAGAGCCCCTGTGGTGCGTCTTCTGGCTCCTCCTGGGCTGAGAACACCCGTGGCAGCACGTTCTCTTGGCAGGGACCCTGGTATGCCAGGCGGGCTGCGTCCTGGAGGAGCTCAGCCAGTACGTGGAGGAGAGGGGCTTCGTCATGCCCCTGGACCTGGGGGCGAAGGGCAGCTGCCACATTGGGGGAAACGTGGCAACCAACGCAGGCGGCCTGCGGTTTCTGCGCTATGGCTCACTTCATGGGACTGTCCTGGGCCTGGAGGTGGTGAGCTGGGGCGCTGGCCACTTTCCTCTGTGTCCCCCTGCCCGTGTCTGAGTGGCCGGACCCTCAGCCTCTTCCCAGTGCTGAAAGTACTTAGTGTGTGAAGTGTCTGTGGGCCCCCGCCCAACCTGCCTTGACTCCATGGGTCTGTGCCCCCTCGGGCACTCTCTCTGGGGTGGTGTGGGGCAAGGCCGGGGCGGGGCTGGGGCTGGGGCTGGGGCGGGGTCAGTGGGCGGGGCAAGGTTGGAGCAGCAAGCGGCAAGGGGGGTGGGGGGACGGGGGCTGGTGGCAGGGCAGGGGCCTGGCGGCACCGGGTGAGGTCCAGGGCCTGGTGGATGAAGTGTCTGCAGGGCGTGGCCCCCGCGCTATGTGATTCTCTGCCACTGACTCCCCACTTTGGGCCCTGAGCTCCATGGGTGTGGGGGGCATGAAAGTCCTCTCTTAGCCCCATTGGGGCGCCTTCTGGCCTGGGGTCACCCTGGGGCCTCCATCTGGGGTGGGGTGGGGGCTCATGCTTGGCTCTGCTTTCTGTGGGACCCCTGGGCGTGGGGGCGAGAGGAGAAGGGTGCCTGCGAGGGCCCACATATAGGCCCTTCTCCCCTTCTCGGCTAGGTGCTGGCCGACGGCACTGTCCTGGACTGCCTGACCTCTCTGCGGAAGGACAACACGGGCTACGACCTGAAGCAGCTGTTCATCGGGTCGGAGGGCACGCTGGGGGTCATCACGGCTGTGTCTATCCAGTGTCCACCCAAGCCCAGGGCAGTGAACGTGGCTTTTCTCGGTAGGCCGGCTGTTGGGGTGCACCGCTGGCCGCCCTGTCCCTCCCACTGCCCTGCTGCCTGGCCCTTGGCACGAGGGGGGCCGTTCCTGTGTCTCCTGGCTTCTGTGTCTGGAGGGTTGGTGTTCCTGACGGGGGTTCTGCAGGGGGCCTCTCCCATCTCAGGGCAGAACACCCTGTTCTTTAGCACAACTGGGCCTCTGCTCAGCTCTGCCGCTCCATCTCCTTCCTTGATTCTGAGTGAAGCAGTGTCATTTCTGGTGTGTTCATTCCTGAATGAGTCACAGCCGTAGGAACACTGTCCTCTCCATCCCCCTGCTGTCCCTCACTGTCCCTGCCCTGTCCCCCATACTGTCCTTGTGCTATCCCCCTGCTGTCCCTACTGTCCCTGCCCTGTTCCCCACACTGTCCCCAATGCTGTCCCCCACTGTCCCTCACAGACCTCTGCCCTGTCCTCCACTGTGTCCTTCACTGTCCCCTGCCTTGTCCCCCACCCTGTCCCTGATCTGTTCTCTACCCTGTCCCCCACCCTGTTCCCACTGTCCTCCTGCTGTCCCCACCATGACCCCTTGCTCTCCCTCTACTTTCCCCACTGTCATGCTATCCCTCATGCTGTCCCTTCTGTCCCCTGCCCTGTCCCCAGCTGCCCATCGGATCCTCTGCTTCCAGCAGACTGTGAGCGTGGGCTTGCGTCTCCTCCTCTGAAACCATATTCTGCCTTGCCTCCACTCAGAACCTGTCAAACTCTGGTAGTTAAGAGGCTGTGGAGACATCCGGTCTTCTGGAGGTCACCATGGGCAACTTAACTCCCCAGTCCGCTGTTGGCTGTGCTCTGCGGTGTCTGTACCCATGGCAGGGTGCCAGGTCTCACGGCCTCCCTTGTCTCTGTGGCTGGAATTGCTGTGTTCTTGCAAACGTGCTATTTCCTCTTCTGATGTGCCGTTCTGCACTGGGCTCGTGTTCCCCGTAAGCACGGCCTGGGTCTCACGGCTGGCCCATTGGCCGCGCCTCCCCAACCCTCGCCCATGGAGACACTGTCGCTGGTTCTCAAATGAGGCTGCTCAGGGTCGTCCCGCATCCTGCGCTTGTGTCCTCCATGGCTGCTGCTCCCGGTGCTGACGCTTTGGTCTTCGGTCACTTCGAAGATTTTCTCTGTGTCTTTGCTCATCTGTGGTTTGGGGTCTCTTGCCTCTGAGGACACATTCTCACCTCAGATCTTCCAGGCCTCCTCACCCTGTGTCTTGGTGTCTTGTCAGTTGGAGGCATCTGGCCATCTTCCTCCCCCTTTAGGGCTGTGACCGGATACACTCACGACAAAGCTCTGTGGTCGGTCCTCTTCATCCCTCCCACGGTTTCCACCCTTTTACACTCCTGCTGCGTTGTTTCCCATCTTTTCCGCTTACTGGTGTTGCCGCACGCTGTGGTCCCCAGACGGCTGAGCCCCCACGTCCAGCCCCGCTATCCAGCCGCGGAACTCCACATGCTCCCAGGTGTGCACAGGAGACATCTGCCTCTGGCCTTGTGCTCTATGAACACACTCCCGTCAGCTTTCCCACCCCGTCCCCAGCGTAGAGTCAGTGTCCTGGGCCCTTCCCACCTGCTCCCGGCTGCTGACGACGGGCTCCCCAGGCCCGGGCGCCTCTGAGATTTCTCCTTGTTCTGTAAGTTGAGTGACTCGCCCTGGGCTCCTGGAAACACAAGTGCTCACTGTGGTGAGAGAAAGGCAGTGAAGCCCTTTCCCAGTACGACCCTGTCTCTGGCCCCCTGTGCGCCCCGGCCCCTCTGGTTCCTGTGACCTTCCTGCACACCGTGGGTCCTCCTACGGGCCTTTCCTCCTGGACTGTCACTACCTGGGACGCGCGTGCCACTGGCTCGCGGTCATCCCTGTGGTGGTGCTCTGCTGCTCCACTGGACTGCCCTGCTCGCCAGCACCCAGGGCCACTCGGCGCAGCTGCTTCACGGGGGGACGTGGGGGTGTCTGGCCGGGGCTCTGGTGCCCACGCCTGAGGTCTTGTTGCCTTCGCAGGTTGTCCGGGCTTTGCTGAGGTCCTGCAGACCTTCAGCAGTGGCAAGGAGCTGCTGGGTGAGATCCTGTCCGCGTATGAGTTCATGGATGCTGAGTGCATGTGGCTGGTCACGCACCACCTGCACCTTGCCAGCCCCGTGCAAGGTATCGACTCCTGTGGCCGGGCCGCTTCCGCCGTGGCCCTCCTGCCATAGGTCTCAGGGGATGCTCTCTTTGGTCACTGACAGGCCATCAGCCTGTCCACAGAGGGGGAGGTGGTGACAAGGTTGCCGGAATCTGCACGGCTCCAGCGTCGCCATACCCGGACGAGCGAGACTCTCTGACCCGCGTGGGAACTGGGCCCCCAGTGTGGGTGCAGTTGCTGCCGCCAGTTGTGCCAGAGCCCCAGGGTCTCTGAGGGTCCTCAACTTGCTGGTCAGAAGTGCTTCTTTTCCACCAGAGGAGCCGCTGGTCCGTGGAACTTTCCCACTTAGCCAACCGAGCCCTGGCCCTGCGTTTCAAGGGCCACCTGCCATCGTGCTCCTAGAGGAGAGAGCTCTCTACTGTGGGTCTCAGCGTCTTCACCTCTGAGAGCCTCCTGAAAGGTGGTGGCTTTGGTGCGGGCAGCCTTGGTGGAAAGCCACAGGCTCAGGGCGTCCCCATGGGATGTCTGCTTCTTGCGGCTCTGGAGGCTGGAGTGTCGGATTGTGGGGCGGCTTGGCCCGTGTCGGGTGCAGCCAGCGGTGCCCTTCTCGCTGTGTGCTCAGGCGGCCTTGTGTGTACAGGAGATCCGTGGTGGCTCATCCTCATAGGAGAGCTGCGGTCCTATGGGATCTGGGCCCGCCCTTGTGGCCCAATATAACATTGAGTCCCTCTCTGTAGTCAGACGGGCTGGGTTAGGACTTTAGTGTGTGGTCAGGCAGAAAGATCTTTATGCTCTAAATTTTTAATGAGGTGTTGCATTTGGTACAATAGAACAGGAAACAACTGGAACATCTAGTAGTAAAGAAATAAGATATGATACGATCACTGGAAAGGTGGGGGACCCATGGGCAGATGGAGGGTCACTGGGTGGACAGAGGGTCTCTGGCCAGAGTATCCCTGGGCAGATGGAGAGTCTCTGGCAGACAGAGGGTCCCTGGGCAGATGGAAGCTCCCTGGGTAGACAGTGTCCCTGGGTAGAAGGTCTCTGGGTGGATGGAGGGTCTCTGGGTGGGTGGAAGGTCCCTGGAAGGATGGAGTGTCCCTGGGTGTGTGGAAGGTCCCTGGGTAGACAGTATCCCCGGATGGAAGGAGCGTCTCTGGATAGATAGCATTCCTGGATGGACGGAGGGTCTCTGGGTGGACAGAGGGTCCCTGGGCAGGCAGAGGGTCCCTGGGTGGATGGAGGGTCTTTGGGCAGACGGAGGGTCCCTGGGCAGATGGAGGGTCCTTGGGTAGACAGCGTTCCTGGATGGACGGAGGGTCTCTGGGCAGGCAGAGGGTCCCTGGGTGGACGGAAGGTCCCTGGGAGGATGGAGAGTCCCTGGGCAGATGGAGCACTGTGTGGCCCTTGGGCGCGTGTGTGAGAAAGCTGCTCCTAAGGTCATGTTTAGGAGAAAGGAAAGGCCAGCCCACTGTCCTGGGCAGGTTTCAGTGTGCAGATCTCCCTGACTGGAAGACAGGAAGGAGTGCTGCTGACCATGCTGGTTGCTACATCTGGCAAGCTGGGGAATTTTTTTTTTTCATTTATACTTGTCTTTGTTTTCCAAACTCCCTTTTATAAGCATGTTTTTACTTTTGTAATTGGAAAAGGAGCCCATAGAAATTAGAACACTCCCAGTGTTTTCTAGGACATGATAAATTAAAGAGCAGAATTTGCATTTCATCATGGAGAAATGCCAATATCTAGAAAACACTTGTTCTCCTTATAGTAGGATGGGCTTGTAGTATTTTTCTGGAAGGCACTTATAACGTAGTGCTAAAGGGAAGAACTGTGCATTTGGTGTTTTCATTTGTTGATTTCAGTAAGTTAAAAATAAATTCACAGTAGCCTTAAAAAAAAGACAAGCTTGAAATTCTCTTATAGTTCCTAATGCATTTTAAAAAAAACTGTAAAAAAGAGACAGCTTGGGTAAAATCATGCCTTTTTTGCATGTCGTGCTAAGCCGAGCGCTGCGGGCATCACAGCACCCCGCGGGCACAGTGGTCTCTCCTGTAGCCCGTGGCCTTCCCAGCACCGTGGGAAGGTAAGAGGGGCTCCCTGCCCACAGCCCTGTGCAGGTGCCCATGACATCGCTCAGGGCTGTTCATGTGTTCTGGGGAGTGTGGTTTCTTTCCCAGTGAAAGACCTATTTTTATTTTTTTTTTTAAGTTTATTTTTTTGGTAATCTCTACAGCCAGTGTGGGGGTTGAGGTCACAACCCTGAGGTCAGAAGTCACATACTCTTTTGATTGAGCCAACCAGGCACCCCAGGAAGGACCTATTTATATTTTTATTTTAATTTATTTGAGAGAGAGAGTGAATGTACCTGAGAGCTGGGCGGGGGCGGGGGCTTGACCAAGAGGAGAGGAACAAGAAGACTCCCCACAGAGCACGGAGCCTGACACGGGGCTTGGTCCCACGACCCTGAGATCAAGACCTGAGCTGAAACCAGGAGTCGGACGTACCCCCCAGGCACCCATGAAACACCGGTTTTTAAGCCACCGGAGACCAAGTCTGGGCAGAGGCTTCCTGTTCTGTGGGCCGCACAGGGGCCGCCAGAGACGCTCAGACAGGCCGACGCAGGCCTGTCCTCACTCTGTCTGACCACCTCTGTTCATCCTGCTTTCTGTGCCTTCCAGAAAGTCCGTTCTATGTCCTAGTGGAGACCTCAGGCTCCAGAGCGGGGCATGACGCCGAGAAGCTGAGTGACTTCCTGGAGCGGGCGCTGAGCTCTGGCCTGGTGACGGATGGGACCGTGGCCACGGACCAGACCAGACTCAAGGTGTGTGTGTGCTGCCCGTGCCTCCTCACATTCCCCATGCTCAGCTGGTCCAGAACGTCTGTGCTGGGCCTCATGTCTGGCTCAGAGCACGGGTTGTCAGAACGTGAGCAGGTCTCCTGCCTCTTGGGAAACGTGCTTTTGGGTCTTTGTTGTGATCAGTGATATTTTATTTTAAATTATTTTTTTAAAAATTATTTATTTGAGAAAGTGAGTGAGTGTGAGTGGGGGGAGGGGCAGAGGGAGAGAAAGTATCAAACAGACGTCCCACCAGGCATGAAGTGTGACACAGGCTCGATTTCACAACTTGAGATCATGACCTGAGCCGAAACCAAGAGTCAGACACTTAACTGACTGAGTCACCCAGTGGGACCCACCATCACCATTGTGGGGGGCCCGTGGTGGTGGGAGCTGCTGTCACCATCCTGGGGGGGCCTGGGTAGTGGGAGCCCGTGGGTGGGGCAGGTATGGATGGTCAGACAGGGAAGCCTGTGGGCCGCAGCATGGCCCTGTAGTACTCCAGCTTGGGGTCCAGCACTGCGGGGGACTGTGTGGGGTCGTTGCTGGTCTGGGTGTGTGAGAAAGGTGGCGGGCAGGAGCTGCTGCAGGTTGGGAGTGGGAGTTGAGGAGAGGGCACAGAGGGACCGTGTAGTGACCCTGAAAGCCAGTGAGCGAATGGGGGAAGCCAGACGCTGGCTGGTGTCTGTGGAGGTAAGGGGCTGTTGCTACTCTTCTGGGGCAGACCTGGCATTGTGTCATGTGGAAAAGCAGGAGGAACCAGTCCTTACCACGTAGAAATTTTGCTGAGACGTTTCCTGAATGAGGGGACATATGGGTGGGATGGGGCCAGCCCCATAGCTGAGCGATGGCACATTCAGCACCGTTTCCTCCACTCTGTAACCAGGACTTCCAAGTGTCCTCTGTGACCAGTCAGCCAGCCAAGCCAGTAAGCCATGGCTGGCTTTGTGCGGAAGGGCAGTGATGTGAAGAGCCCCCCACTCCCCAGGCCCCCTCAGCCCCACCCCGCGCCGCCCTCACTTTCCCGCTCAAGCTCCAGCACCCATGTGTGTCTCGGGCAGCCCAGGGCCCAGCAGCCCCGTCCCCTTTGTCTGCAGTGTCTTCCCTGCTGGACCCTGCCATTGCTCAGGTTCCCTCACCAGCCAGCAGCCCCTACCAGCCTCTCCCACCATGCCACCCAGAGTGTCCTCCATCCTCCTGGAGAGGGGCTGTCTGTGTGCCCTGGGGTGAACCATGGCCGCATTCTGGAGTCTCGTCCTGTATGGATTCTTGGGTCAGAGCCCCGTGCTTGTCACAACACAGAATATTTTTGTCACTTGGGAAGTTCCGTCATGACCTTCCTGGTCATCTGAGGCCGGCAGCATTCTAATTGCTGTTAGACACCCTTCACGGTGCCCCTCTGACTTTGTTTTCTGTCTGTCCCAGGCGCTGTGGGCCCTGAGGGAGAGGATCTCGGAGGCGCTGAGCCGGGACGGCTACGTGTACAAGTACGACCTCTCCCTGCCCACTGAGAGGCTTTATGACCTTGTGTCTGATCTGCGCGCCCGCCTTGGCTCACAGGCCAAGCATGTGGTGGGCTATGGCCACTTGGGTGAGCTGTTCTGGGATCAGGTGGTGATGGGGATGCTAGTTGTTGAGAGAATTCTAATCATTTTCATGGTTCTCGGGCATTTTGGAAAGGACCTCCATTTGCTGGCCACCACGGTGGCCTGCCCTCGGACCCAGCCTGCTGTATCCCTGATGAGTGCCTCTCACTCCCCTTGCCAGGTGCAAGCGTTTGAAAACTAGTTTCAGATAATTCTATTTTGCAGAAAAATCAAGCTTTATGTTTAAAGTGATTAATTCCTCAGAAAGGAATGTCTCATCCCTCTCGATTCTTGGCAGCCATGCGTACGGGCTGCCCAGGGCCCCATGCCTGCAGCCTCCATGGCCTGTCTGTAATGGGGGGTTCAGGTCCCCCTCCTGCAGTTGAGGGAGGATCTGGAGAAATGGGGTGAGGGGCTTGGCACACGGCATACCCTGTCCCGGCATCTCTGATGCTTGGTTTGGGAACTTGTCATCACAACGGTTTTCACAGGTGGTGCCTTACTTTTCTCGTGAGCAGGCTCCGCAAGTCAGGTGTCTGGGACGCTCAGTGTGTGACAGATGGTGACCCCCAGAGTTGGGGGGGTAGGGGGGGTTCCTGGCATCAAGGACAGTGAGAACATTCAGTGGCTCAGGGCACCTGCTGTCTGTGGGACAGGAAAGGTCCCTCCCTCCTGGCAGACAGCGCTGCTGTACAGAGTAGACTCTCACCCGTGAAGGACAACGTGTGAAATTTTAAGAAGGGGATGGGAGAGTGTGTGTGTGACCTTGAGGTGGGGAGATCTTGTCAGGACCACACGGGATGCATAAACCATAGGGGGAGATTGCTGCTAACTTGGACTACATGAAAGTAAAAACCATTGGGCAATCTCAAGCAGAAAGTTGGCGGGTGGAGATGTGGGGCTGGCGAACCCAGTGTCGGGTAGGAAGCCTGGCACGGCCTCTGGGAGGTGGACACCTGAGTGGGGGTGGAGGACAGGTGCCCTCGGCCAGGGCCCGGGCGAGGTGGTGAGGCTGCTGGGTGTGGATGTGGGGCTGGGGATTGCTGGCCCACCTTCCGCCTCGAGGGGCACTGAGTGCAGCCTTTGCTGCCGGTGGGGCGAGACTCACGGCCTGTTGAGGGCTTCTCTGGTGTCCAGTGGGGCAACCGGCCTGCTTTCCCTGTGGTCCGTGAGGCTGTTCCTGCCAGGTCCCTTCTGCAGGTGGGGCTGTAGTCTGGGGGTTGCCCAGCTTGGCCACGGTCCTCTGTGTCTTGTTTGGTCCGTGTGCCTGTGTTATGTGCGGGGTTTCCCTGGTACGTCCTGGGCTGTAAGTCCCTTCCCCGTGTCCGTGATGGATGCCAGCGTCATCCCACGGTGGCATGGCTGTAGTCTCTCCCTTGGGCCCCGAGGGGTCCGACTGGTTGATGCCTCATTGGCCATGTGGGAGGAGCTGCGGTGAGGATTCGGGGCAGAGGGTTTTGTGTGCTGGGCGGTGGGGGGCTGACTGCAGGCCAGTTTCTTCCCTAGCTGCAGGGCAGGCCGAGCTTCCTGGGTCGGTTTCAGTCATTTTGTTTTCTGGGAGTGTGTCTGTTTCTTCTGAAGCCTTGGACATGTTGACGCCAGGTGTCTGTCACGCTCATTCCCGTGTCACATCAGCATTAGTGGGGTGGCCCCTGTTTTAGTCCTGGTCGGGTTTGTTCCTCATGTCTTTCCTCGTCTGCATCTGTCGTGTGCTCATGAGGTCTGTGGTCCCGCCCGGTTGGCCACTCTCTGCGTTCTGTCTCAAGTTTCTCGTCATTACCGTTGTCCTCAGTGTTCGTGTCTTCTCCCCTGTCAGTTGTGTCCTGCGGTGCCTCTAAGCACGGGAGTCTTCAGGGCTTCCAGCCTCTCCGCTTGGTCGCAGGGGTTAGACTCCCCCCGAGGACCAGGCTCGCCGTTCCCACCGTGGCTCTTGTTAAATAATGTCTGTGTGTCGCCTTGTTGGGCTCCGCGTGAGGTTGGAGGGGCCCCTGTGGGGCCAGCATGGCCACCTGGTCCAAGCCGTGTGCACCCCCCTGGTCCGAGCCCCGTGCGCCCCCCTGGTCCGAGCCGTGTGCTCCCCGCTGGTCCAAGCCCCGTGCGTCCCCCTGCTCTGAGCCGTGCACACCCCCTGGTCCGAACCACGCATGCACCCATGGCCCCCCCGCCCCCCGCATCAGTGAGAGGGCGGAAGTCCGCACAGTAGCAGCAGGCTGCTCCCCTCTCCCACAGCTACATCCTCTTGGAGGATAGGGGTTGCACCTGTCCTCTCATTCTAGGGTGAACGGGGGCACTCTCATCACAGTAGATCCTTCTGAATGCTGGACCTGTGCTGGCCTCCGACCAGTCACACGGGCTCCTCCCATTTAGTGTTTCCCTGACATGTGTTTGTTCCTGTTACCTTCACTGTCTTCCATCCTACCGTGTAGATGCGTCTTTCACAGACACCGTGGAGGTGGGGTCTCCGTGTCATGCAGTTTGTCATTCGTTGTCTTTATTATTTATTTATTTTGAAAGATTTTTATTTAATTGAGAGAAGGAGCATAAGAGCAGAGGGAGTGGCAGAGGGAGAAGCAGACTCCCTGCTGAGCAGGGAGCCCAACACGGGGCTTGATCCCGGGACCCCAGGACCACGACCTGATCTGAAGGCAGACGCTTCACTGCCTGAACCCCCCTGGTGCCCCTCCTGGAGTGTAGTTTGGTTCTGTTTTCTGCCTCGTGTGGCGGTGCCAATGTTATGCAGCCGGCGATGGCCCAGGCTCAGCCACGCCTGTGTCCCTCTTCATTCTGGTGTCGTGGCCTCTGCCTGAGCTTCAGCCTGAGCTTCAGCCTTGTCTCTGGCTCCAGGGACAGGAGGTGACGAGCATCATGGATTCTGCTGGCCTGTTGCTCAGGGCTTCTTCAAACGCGAACATCTGCATGGTGACTGTTTCTCCTACGTGGGGCAAGGCAGCCTGCTGTGCATGGACCTGTGGTGTTGCTGTCCGCAGGGATCCCAGTTTTCTTGTCTTCCCTTGTCTGGGGGGCTCTTCGGGGTTGCTTGTTTGGGTGAGCATTTGCCTTTGCGTCTGGGTGCCTTGGGGCTGTGGTGAGAGGGGTGGCTCTGCCCTTCTGTCCCCAGATATGTCTGCCCATCCTCCCCTGCCTTCCTGGCTGCGTTCCCGGGGCTACAGCCCTGTGGCTCCCCGCCTGCCTTCTCTGCGGCCCAGCCCTGACTTCGCATCATGTTCAGGTCACATGTTTGATTTCCCTTCTGTGCTGTTCATCTCCTGCGGGGGGTAACACACATCGAAACCTGTCTGTGGACTCCGGCCTCTTGGTGATTGGTAGTTTCTTTTCTGGAAGTTGGTTGACTTGAGATGCTTGCTCAATCTGTGTCTTATATGTTTTATCTCTTACTTTTATAAACGTAGGAGACATTTGGGTTCTGTTTCTGGAAGTTACGGGATCTGAAGCCTTTGTGGTCAGGTTGCCGGTTCTTGCTCATGGTGGCCGCTCTTGTGTACGTGGAATTTTGGGTGTGGGCTCGTCTCTCTCGGGGCTTCGTCTGTGGGGATTACTTGAGGCCTGGGTTGGAGGTGATTTGCTTGTGCAGGGGTGCAAGTGGAGGGGGCGGGGTCTCCTAGCTGGAGCCTGTCTCGTCCTCACGCTCTCAGCTCAGGGTCCGTGGGACCACTGAGGTAGCGGGAATTCCAGCTGGAAACCTGCAGGCTGGCTGGTGGTTGTGCAGGCCCCACCGTGGGGGGTTTGGAGCCTCTGCCTGCAGGGTAGCAGCGGGACCACTCTGGTGGAAGGGGGGGGGTCCCTCGTGTGCTCCCTACATCTGAGAAGCCTGGAGGGAGGTGACCATGAGAGGCTCTCTGTCACTGGATCAGAGGCCCCAGGCCTGCGCCCCATGCTGCCCTGGGCTTTGCTCTAGCCTCTAGGAGCTCCTCCTGCTGGCTCATGAGGCTCTCTGCCCCTCAGGGCATGTGGGACTGCCTGCAGAGGCTGGCTGGGCAGGTGGTCTGTCGCTGGGAGCTGGAAGCCTCAGGGGGCCGTGTGGGTAGAGGGGAGGCTGTGGCGTGGTCACTGCAGGCCCCTTCCGTCACTGCAGGCCTGTGGCCAGTGGTGCAGGCACGAGGACAGGACAGGACTAGGGGCTGTCAGGAAGGGGTCTCAGCCTGCCTGGCCTGACCCCAGCGTCCCTGTGCCTATAGGGGATGGTAACCTGCACCTCAATGTGACGTCGGAGGCCTTCAGCCCCTCGCTGCTGGCTGACCTGGAACCGTACGTGTACGAATGGACAGCCAGGCAGCGGGGCAGCGTCAGCGCCGAGCATGGCCTGGGCTTCAAGAAGAGGGGCGTCCTCAGCTACAGCAAGCCGCCTGAGGCCCTGAGGCTCATGCAGCAGCTCAAGGCACTCCTGGACCCCAAGGGCATCCTGAACCCCTACAAGACACTACCTGTTCAGGCCTGACAGGACCTGCGGGGTCCGCAGGAGACGCAGGAGGGGCCTTGGCCCAACCCTGGTTTTGCCTGTGGCTGTGGGCCTGCGGGGTTGGCATGAGCTGAGTGGGCAGCAGCAGGTGGGGGCGCCCAGCTACAGGCTGGAGGGGCCAGAGCCGGCCCCCAGGCAGGATTCTTCCTGGCTCTTTCCAGCCCTGCTGGGCGGGCAGAGCGGAAAGCCACCCAAGCCACCTGGTCTGCTCTCTCAGCCCCTATGTGGTCACTGCCCAACCCTCTGCAGGCTAGGCAAGAGCCTCCTGTGGCACGTCCTGTGTGGGCTGGGTGGGCGAGCTCTTCTGCCCATTTGGGAGACCAGGCCACATTCCACTGTGCTGGGGGCTGCCACTGTGGGAGGGGGCATGGATGGTCCTGTGCCTGGGTTCCCCAGGCAGGATGTGTCCCTGGCAGAGGTGACGAGCTTCGTGGGACAGTGTGGGCTCCGTCCAGAAGCTTTGAGCAATAGCCCGGGTCACTGGAGCCTTGTGGATGACCGGGCCCTCGGATGAGCCAGAGTAATAGGATGGTCTCCGCCCTGGAAGGCATCGTTCCCCCATTTTCTAGAAGGCCCATCCATTGGCAAGACAGTCATCAGACGCTAGTCATTCGTGGTTCACCCCGGTGGTTCGCAGTGATGTGCCCGGAGCTGTGGCTTCACTTCTGCTTCTGCTTCCACGTCCGTGAGGCTAGCGTGAGAAGCCCCGACGTGCACGAGTGCATGTGCCCAGTGGGGCAGGCTTGGCGCGCACACTGCATCCTCACTCGCCCCACTGTTGCCCTGGGCCCGGGGCCACTCCTGGGGCTGTGAAGAAGGTCTGGACACGTTTTCTCTTTCTGGCTGTCATGAACTTCCAGTAAAAAATGGGAATTGATCACAACGCTGTCCTTGTATCTGTTCCTGGAACAGTCTGGTGAAGCCTGCGGCGAGGTGCCTGTTCTCTCAGCACTGGGACACTGGGCGCCAACACCGTGCCCCCAAACCCAACACCTTCCTCTGTCCCATCCCTCCCCCCACCCCCGACTTAAAACCTCATGGGCTTGCGAGGGTTGTGCTGTGGGGCGTGGAGGTAGCAGAGTCATTGTCAGCGCGAGTTGTGGCGCAGCAGATTTACTGTCGAGAATGGAAACAGCATGAGGTATTAAAAGGCTTAAGATCTTAGGTGTTTTCTGCTAGAGTCGAGGTGGGCCTTTGAGAAGGCAGTACAGTGACTGGGGGTCACAGGCAGCAGGTGGCAGGAAGAGCCTCCATCTCCCCAGAGGATGAGCTGGTCCTCCAAACGTCAGAGTGTGAAGTGGGGCCACTTGGGCTCGCCCTGTGGAATGCACCTGCCTGCACACACACACGTCCACACGGGCCATGTGCAGACGTGGTGCACACGTGCAGTACACACGTGCACATGAGGTACACACAGACCGGTGCAGATGTGGCGCATGTGTGTACATGCAATAGACGCACACGTACGGGACTCACTGGCGTGTACTGTGCTGTCTTGTCTGGACGGCGCCTCAGACCCATGAAGCGCTGGCCGCCTGCCTTCATGCTTGCGGAGAACAGGTTCTCCAGCGGCCGTGGGCCATTGTGAGTCCTAGTGGGGCATCCGTCCAACTGCATTGAGTTCTGCACCATCCTGCAGCTCACGGCTGTGTGGCCATACCAGACATTATGTGAAGAGGTAGGAAGCCGGGCTGTCAGGAATGTCGACTACCCAAAGCTGGTCTTCAGACCCGAACCTGGCCCCTCCTGGACCAGTTCCGGGCAGGTAGGGCTTCTGCGAGGATTATCTCCGAGTGCGCTGGGAGGAGTTGAGGGCTGTTATTGTGTCTGGATTAGGAAAAGCTTATGAGTTTCACCTTCAAACCTCTAAGCTGCTGTAACACGAGAAGTGGTTACGAAACAGAGGGGCCAGCGGCCCTCACCGCTCCTGGCCTGTGCCTGCCAGGCCCTGGGTTGGAGGGGCGCAGGGTGTGGTGAGGAGGAAGCCCCAGCCAGGGACCTGAGCTGCCACCTGAGGGATGGCGGGAGTAGGCCCAGTGGTCTCAGCCCAGGGAACGCAGGGGAGCCGGGACACTGCCCACCCCTCACCCTGGGATGTGGCTGGGGCTGGGCTGCCCTCCTTGGGCCTGGGCCACCCTCCTTGGGCCTGGGCCGCCCTCCTTGGGCCTGAGGGGGGCAGAGTCTGCGGGAGAGCTGACTTCCTGTTAGGTCGGGGCTGTGGTGTCTGATGATGGAGGACCCTGAGGGCTCAGACAAAGAGTTTGGGGGTCATGTGGCTCTGCAGGGCCCTGAGGGTGTCCATCAGGGTGCTGCCCTGGGGAGGGGAAGAGGTGACAAGCTGTAGGACACAGTGCCCACTGACCAGTGATTGTGCTTATGCTGGCCATAGTCCCAGGCCTGACCCTCATGGGGACCAGGGTCCACTCAGTGGGCTCCCTCACCCTACTCTTCCCTGGTATACCACCTGCCATCCTAGGCTTGAGGCCTGTTGGACCTTAGGGTTTGGGGAAAGCAGGCTGGGTCTTGTCCTGCCAAAGGATCAGGCTTGAAAGGCCAGGTAGGTGGTGGGGACATGACCTGTCCACTGTGGTGCTGAGGAGGAGTGTGCAGGCTGGACCCCGCCCCCAGCAGTCTTGGATTCATAGTGGTCCCTGGGCAAGCCTCCCATGGGTGTTGGCATATCCTGCCCCCTGCCCTGTGGGGACACCCAGAGTCACTGTGAGGTTTCTGGAAAAGCTCCTATGCAGGGGTGTGTGAGGAGAGAGCTTTCTGGGTAGGTCTGGCTCCAGGCTCCCCTTCCTGCTAGTTCTGGTCCATGGGTAAGAAGCTAGGTGCTCCATGGGACGGTGGCCCAGTCAGATGCCATCCTTTCATCTCTGGGCAGAGTGTGCAGGGCCCAGACCGCTTTTGGGCCCAGTGGCCATGGGCCCCTGGACAGCAAGGGAGATGAGTGGCAGGTGGGTCTGAGGGGGTGTGGAGGCATGGGGCTGGGACCTGTCTGATCTGGCTGCCTGAGTTTTCACTCGCCTTTGGCCCCAGAAGCAGAGACATGGCAGGGGCAGTGACTCTTCCCCGGGGCATGGTCACACTCCTGTTTACGGATGTGGTTCAAAGCCAGGGCCCCGGAGGCCTGCTCTGTGGACACTGGCAGGCAGTTGGTCTGCTGGCAGAGGTCCTGGCCCTCCCTCCCCTGAGCCCTGGGCCAGCAAGAAGGGCGTGCCTCCATGTCTGTCCATCCCCGGCAGGACTGGACTGCATGTCCAGCATGGAGACAGGAGTCGGAGCAGGCCCATGCTGCTGGAGGCACCCTGCCCATGCCAGATGGCCCCTCCTGTGAGGCAGGCCAGGGCAGCGTGGACAGGGATCCTCCTGTAGTTGGGCAGCATGGAAGTGCCCGTTGGGCCCTCCAGCTGTGGCTCTGCCAGCAGGGGCACTGCACCTGCTCCCAGTGTCCCCTGGAATCCTCCTGCTGGGTGTAAGTTAGACCCCAGCAGACCCTGCTCTCCTGGGGTCTTAGCCCATGGCCTGGCACCACGATGGTTCCTTCCCTCCGTCCCTGGGGCTGGGCTGCCGAGGCTCCATGTCACATTGCTTTGTCCGTTCTGCTCCCCCAGCCCCAATCCGAACTGGGGGTACAGTGGATAGCCCACTCTTCCCGCCTGGGGCCAGGGGAGAGGGACCCCAACTGCTGAAACATGCCCCTGGGCCCTAGTGTCTGTAAATGCAGGGATCAGAGAGGTGACTCTCAGCTAATGACAGTCTAGGTTTGGGCAGCGGGTGGAGAGGCAGTGTCCCCCTTAAATGTGGAGCAGGGAGAGGGAATGCAGAGGTTCATGGTGTGTCCAGGTGGAGTCGGCCGCCACCTGCCATTGGATCATGACTTTAGGCTGCAGGCATGGGTGAGTGGGGAGGGGAGGCCGTGGGTGTCTCTGGGCACCCACATCCACGCTGCCCCCTGGGCCTCCCCTGAATAGCCTGTTGTGGGGTGACGTGGGGCTCTCCATCCCAGGCCCTTGTCAGAGTGGACACTGGGGCTCATGGGGGCATCACAGGTGAGGAGCAGCAGGACCCCTTCTGAGACTGGCCAGCCCCGCCCTGTCCTGCCTATGTGGTTGCCTGGCCACGGGGCACAGGGAAAAATCCATCCCACGTGGGGGGCCTGTGTGGGGGCTGGACAAGAAGCACACTGTCCTCTCACTGAGCCCACTGCCTTGACAGGGGCATTCCAGGGTGCCATCCCTTGTTTGCCCTATCTGCTAGGCCTTGAAAGGTGGAAGAAAGGGTCATCTAGCCAGGTCTCCCAAGTTCAGAGCCTCGTGATGACGCTGCAGGGTGGGCTCATGTCCCAGCACCCCGCAGCGTGTCCTGGCCATCCCGTGTCCCCAGGGTAGCTCCCATGGACGTCTCCTCTCCTGGAGCCCCCGCCTTCCCCACCCCATGGTCTATCCTCGCCCTGTCCTCCCTGAGCTCAGCTGCACCACCCTTCATTCTCTTCCCTCACTTTGGCTTCCCAGCCCCTGGCCAAGGCCTGGTCCCATAGGGCCCCCCTGGGGCTCATGGCTCTGGACACCTGGTGCCTCCAGCTGCATCACCCTGGACCCTGAGCCCCGCCCATCACTGTCCGGGGCTACCACAGGGACAGGCTTTCCGGCAGCTCTGTGGTTTTTCGGGTCGCTCAGGATAGAGCTGGATGCTTGTCACCCGTCAGAGATTCTGGCTCTGTGAGGGGCAGCCAGTGTCCACCCAGGGTGCTGGTGGACAGTCAGGGTTACAGGGACAGTATGTCAGGGGGAAGGGAATCGTTTCCAGCAAAAACAAAATTGGAGGCCCAGGCTGGTAGGGAGGTGGGGTGTCCGTGCTGGACAGTCCTGGCCCTGTGCCCACCTGGGGACTCCTTTCCATCTCGAAGTGGACAGACAGATGAGTGCCCTGTCAGCCAGAAGCGTGCTTTCTTGGATGGGGGCGGGAACCTGCTGAGGTGGATGAAGGACCTTTTGAAGCTGGAGTGACGGCCGTTTGCCCTGGTCTTTTGGCCCCACCATAACCCTTCCTGGGCAGCCAGATAGGCACCTGCATCCCGACCCCAAGGAAACAGAGGAGACCCTGTGCTATAGGAAGGACTGGGCTTCTCTGGATTAGGCTCCCCGGTGTGGGGGTGGACAGGGGACACTGTGGCCAGGACTGCACGGGGAACTCAGGAACAGAGGAGAGGAAGGCCCACAGTCTGTCTAGGGCCCGGGCCAGGCCCGTCCCTCTGCGATCACCCTCCCTAGGGCCACAGGAGGCTCACGGGCACCTGGTCTACATCCAGTGACATCTCTCACCTGGGTTGGGCCTGGGGGTGTTGCACAGGATGTCCCACGGATCACTGCCACCTCCGGGAAGGGCCCCCTATGGGGAGGGGCTTCCCACTCCCCTGCGTGACTCCACACCCTTCCCCTTGACCTTGGACTTTGTCATGTGGTTTTTCATGTTGTGAGGTTGTAGGGACTGGGCTGCAGTGGGGGCGTGAGGTGTGCTCTTGGCTTCCCTGTGACTCTCCTGGAAAGAGAGCTGTCTGGGCAGCTGCTCAGACCCAGAACAAAGGTCCAACCTGTGGCGGCCTCGAGGGCAGAGCCCCAGTTCCTTCAGACCCATGAGCACGGGGGCGGGCATTTGCCCTGGCTCCACAGAGATCCCTCCTGGAGCCCCATGGAGGGTGGCAGCAGACCTCATCCTCCCCCCACCCCATTCAGTGGCGGGTTGTCCTGAGGGTGCAGACTCCCTGCCCTCCGAGCTGGACCCAGGAGTCCTGTGTGATAATGTGTGCATGGTGGCAAGATGCTCCTGCCGGCTGACCCGGGGATGGGAGGCCCAGCAGCAGAGGACACGGGAGCAGCCTAACCTGGCCTCCGTCCACGGCACCCCTCTCCTCCTCGAAGCCACTGGCCCAACCGCCTTTTCAACGTAATCAATGTGCCAGGCACCAGCCAGCAGGGAGGATGGTGTGGGGACTCAGCTGGCCCGGGAGGGGGGGATGAGCGGTGGGAAGGTGGCCCACGGGCCGGGCTGGGTGGTGATGTCCTGCTGCCCGCTGGCTGACTGGGCGCGTGAAGCTGCAGGTGCCTGGTGGCCGGTGTGGCGAGGGGTATCCACCGAGCCTGCCTCCTTGGCTCCTCCGGGGTTTCTGTCCTCTGATGGATGTAGCACTCGTGGGAGAGCTGCAGACGCTTCCCCCCGCCCATGTCTGTCCTTCATCTTCAGACCATGTTTACTTCTTTCCTGAACTGAACGTTCATACAGTAACTCTCTACTCGTATTTCTATCTCGCGTTGCAGTGTCCTTGTTCTAAAGTTCTTTTCCATCCTAAGACGTACAAGTTGGACTTCCCCTAGCATAAAGCGAGCTGTGAAGCAGGAGAGGAGAATCGGTCTGAATTTGATCTTGTTTCCCTTATTCATCCTCCGGGGGATCGGCTGAACCTCTGTCTTCACCTCCCACCTCACCCTGAGCTCTGGGTCCAGAGGGCCTGGAAGCTGCCCATGCCCCCAACCCCCCTTTGGTGGATGGAGCCTGGGGAGCAGGGCGCAGCCTGGGGGGTGAGCCCAGAGAGGAGACTGTCCACCCCCGCCGCTCCCCAGGAAAGTCCAGATCTTCCTGAGAGCGGAGGCTGAAGCCGTCCGCAGGGTGGAGGGTGTGGCCTCACTTGCACCTGAGCCACAGGCCAGCTCCCCGGGGAGGGAAGTTCACGGTTTGCCCAGTGCCTGTGCCCAGGGGCCGAGAGCCAGCTCCATCTGCCAGCCTGCCAGCTGCCCCCTGCCGTCACTGCAGGCCCCAGACAGCATGCCGCCCCTGCCGGGGGGCACACACAGGTAAGCTGGGGGGTGTTGGCAGCACAGACACAAAACATGTCTTGAATTCCTGGGTGGTCTGAGGACCCGGCAGAAGTTATTCTGTGTCTTTAAAAGGAAGTCGTTAGATCTGGGGCTTTTTTTCTCTTATGATGCCCCAGACTCACCGGCTGGGGCTTCATTTCGGATTGTGAGTGACCCCTCCTGGGTCCTGGGGCTCTGAGGGAATACGGGGCTCAAGCTCAGGGGATGACAGTTCCGTGTCTGGGCTTAAGGCCTGGGCAGGCGGCGGCTAGGAGTCTGGGACCTCCAGGCCTTCAGTCCCCGGGCCACGGCCAGACCCTATGTTTGCAGCATGGGTCTTCCTGGCTTCGGGGGCGTCCCTGCCTGAGCCCCTGACCCTTCCGGCCAGTTCCCCGCATGTGTGTTAGGGCCCTCGCTGGGGGCTCCAGGGACTTAGAGCGAGTCCCCTCTAGGGTGTGGCTCTGAGTCATAAGTGCTGTTTTCTCTTGTAGACATAGAAGGAGTTGGATTTTTCCACGCAGTTTAGGTGTGGAGGGGAGGTCGGTGTGCCTGGAAATGCTTTGCATTTTCCTTCTCTATCTCATCCCACATGCTCTGGGGAGAAGCCAGTGCCTCTGGGTGCCTCCCTGTGGGCCCTGGGCTTGAGCATGACCAACATCTCTGAAGACATGACTTCCATCCGCCGGTGAGGACAGGGGGTCGCCTAGGAGCTGGCCAAGGGGGGAGGGTCCAGGTGTCCCTCTTCCGTGGAGGTGAATGGGGTCACCGTGCTTGTAAGGGGGAGATGTGAAGGTTTGGGAAGGATTGCTCTGCCAGCTAGAGGCCAAGCCCGGGCCCCACTGGTGCCCAGGCCTCTGGTTACACGGAAGGGGAGGGAACCCCAGGGGGAAACCCAGGAAGCAGGCTGCCTGGTGGGGCAGCAGGATGGTGTGTCTTAGTCCTACCAAAGGTGACCGTGCTGACACAGGGTTGGGGCCACAGCTGCTCTGTGTGTCCCAGGCTCCCTGGTTTGGCTTGAAGCCCCAGGAGGAAGGGGCGCCCTGGGTCACTGTGGCCACATTCACTTACTATTCCCACACCCAGAGAGGCATGGACTGTCCAGAACTTCTTGTTTATTTTCCTTGAATTATGCAAATGTTTGGAGGCTCTTCCCATGCAGGCCAGTGTGCCTGGCTGGTTGACAGGTGGGCTGAGCCATGGCCCTGAGGACAGGGGGACAGTCCCAGACGGGCCTGGCCAGGTGGGTACTCAGAGGCTCCGGGCACAGGGAGCAGATGGCCCTGGGCAGACATGGCCACGCAGGTATCCAGTGGCCCTGGGTGGTGTGAGGAGCTGCCTGGAGCAGAGACAAGACCTCCCTCTCTCAGCGAGTTCCGGGATCGTGATGTACGAAGGCACAAACCGTCCTCAGCTGCCCCAAGGTTCGGGACAAGCCCAGATGTGGGTGGTACCCCCAGCAGAATCCTGTTGCTGCCGGAGACCCCAGCCCTAGGTGGTGGAGTCTCTGGATGGCAGAATGGAAACCCCCAAATTCTGAGTCCTGGCCCTGAATGTGTCATGGGGGGGCCCCTGAAAACCTGTGTGTCTGGGGACCAGGGAGCCCCTGGAGTGCTGAGCCCCGAGGAGTCCTGCCCATGGGGCCAGTGTGTCCTCGTGTGTGACCCCATGTGTGACCCGTGTGTGTCCCCATGTGTGACCCCTTGGGAGGCATATGACCCATGGGGCCAAATCTAAGAGTAGTGGGGGGACACGCAGGGAGCCCTGGGGAAAGTCTGCTGGTGCCTGGCAGTGGGGGCCACAAATGGGCTGGACAGGGCATGCGTGGAGGCCAGAGGGAGCCAGGCTTGGGGCTGATGCCCCAGTCGTGGTCCGGTGAGGTCATCATGCTCCTGGGAAAAGCCTGGCTTTTGCCTGAAAGCTGTCCTGTACCCCCACCACAGCAAGAGTGCTGGCCCATCCGTGGGCATCCCCAACTGAGCCGTGGACAGGTGTCCGCTGAGCCGGCTAGCTGGGACCCCGGGGAGGCTGGGCCATCAGTGCTGGTCTCCTGGAAGCTCCTGCTGGAGGAGGGGGCATGCTGTGTGGGTCTGGGCACGGCAGACGGAGGAAAGAACCATCTGGAAGATGCCCTAGGGCGGAGCTCCTGCCAGGCTCAGGAACAGACAGGGCCACGCCTTCTGGAAGGCACTGTGTTTAGCATCTGACCACAGCTTGGAGATGTGGCCATCCTGATCTCGGTGGCTGGTACCCTGTGGGGCTCCTCTCTCCTGGGCAGGAGCAGGGTGGGAGGAGCATGGAGGGCTGAAGACTGTGAGGTCGTGTTGTCCCCACTCCTGGCCCTAGAAGAGGCTTGGCTCACAGCCTGCTGGCCTCTCAGAGCCATGGACGCCTCTGTGAAGGACAGATGGGAAGTGCTTTGCAAGTTGTGTCCTATGTTCCCAACATTATTGCCCACCGGTGCCTGCTGGGGTGGCCTGCCCCGGTAGGGGGAGGCCACCACCGCTGGCCCTCCAGACTCAAGCCTGGTGGCTGCTGCAGTGGTCCTGAGGGTGGGGCCTTCACAGTGCGCTAGTGGACACGGGGTGAGGTGTCCAGCCCCAGAGGCCACAGTCCATGGGGTCTGCCAGAGCGACCTGGTGCCGCCTCTCCCCTGCAGGCACCCTGGGAGCTCGGGGCGGGTGTGGGGGGTGGGTGGGACCAGGAGACCCTGCCTGCCCCTCCCCCACCTGCTCCTGTCAGGTGGAGACCGGCTTGCTCCTACTGGTGGGGGGTGGGCGCTGCCAAGGGCCCCCCAAGGCAGTGGGTCTCCTGGGTATGCGGGGCCAGGGGAGGGGCTGGCTATGTGGACCCCGTGCCCACAGTGGCAGCAAGCATGCAGGCTTCAGCAGATTTATTGAGGGGGCTGCTGTCGATGAGGATGGGAGGTGCAGGCCGGGTCAGGGGGCTCTGACAGGAGGGCCTGGCTCCGGGGGGGTGTCCTCCTGGCTGGCCTGGTGGGCTGTGGGCTCATGGAACTGCTCAGCTTGGTGTGGGAGGCTCAGGCTGACAAGGGCCTCAGAGACCAGGCTGTTGGCCCAAGTTGCTGGCCTGGGGCCTTGGGGTGTGGCGTCCTTCTCAGTGTGAAAGGGACTGGACATGGAATCCCCTGGGAGTCATGCCCTCACACGGGGGCTCAGCTGACAGCCTGATCGCCCCCCCACCCCAGCAGGATGAACGTTTTCCCAGGCTGGAAGACTGGCAAGAATCTACTCAGCTCTTTAGAACTATACACGTATCTCAAGGGTACAGATGGGGAATTCACAATTACGAGTTTTCCAAGTCCGCACTCTGACAAAAGGAAGGGGGTCCCTTTCCTTTCTGCCCCAAGGCGGATTACAATTGTTTTTCAAACTTTAGTGTTTGTCCTTGCACGTTTGAGAGCTGGCTGGGACAAGCTAGGAGGTGGGAGGGCAGGCGGGTGGTGGGGTGGGGGAGTGTGGCTCTGCGTGGTGGCTGCTCATCCCCCCTCCCCAGGCAGGGTGGGGGAAGCCAGGGCAGCCAAGCAGGGCCAGGGCCAGGCCAGGGCCAGGCCAGGCTCACCCACCCAGGAACCACCACCCCAGCTCTGGCCAGAGTGGAGGGAAGGAGGGTCTGAGCCCGCCCCTCAGAGCGGATAGCGTCTCCCATCACCTGGGTTGGGCACAGGGAAGAGGCTGTACCAGGACTTGTGGGACTCCCAGGAAAAGTGGGGAGAGACCACAGCCTGCACATTCCCCACACAGACCGGGACTCCTGGGCCTGGGGCAGCCCTCCCAGTGGATGGGGGCTCCCCAGACTAAGCATGATGGGGGCAGAGGCAGGATAGCACCTGCTGTGGGATAGTGGAGCACCAGTGTTCTCGCAGCGATAGTGAACTGTGTTCTCACAGTTCTCACAGTGGGAGGACTGCTGCCCAGGACACAATTCAGTCTATGTGTCAGCGTGAAGACAAGTGTCACAGCACAGCACTCAGCCTTTCCACAGCTGATTGCTCTCAGGCATTTTCTGGTCTGGTCTGTCTACTCCATGTTTATTTTAATCTGTTCTGTTTATTCTTTTCTACTCTGTCATATATGTTATTCTGTATCTATTCTAACCCATCCTATCCATTCCATTCTATCCTATTCTTTTTTGTTTAAAGTAGGCTTTATGCCCAGTGTAGAGCCTAATGTGGGGCTTAAACTCATGACCCTGAAATCAAGACCTGAGCTGAAATCAAGAGTCAGATAGATGCTTAACCAACTGAGCTACCCAGGCGCCTCCTATCCTATCCCATTCTACCCACCCCATCCCACCCCATCCCTTTCCACTGTATTCTATGTCTATTCTACTCTATTCTCTAACAGTGCTAGCTCCATGCCCCTGCCCCAAGGGGGTGACCCACTGAATTGACTACCCAGCAAATGGGTGCTGCTCACAGCTAGACCAGCAACAACCTGAGCTGTTGAGCACGATGCAGGGGTGTTTGGGAGAAGTCCAGAGAGATGCAAGACCCAGCCACTGGAAGTGATGCCATGCTCTTTCTCGGGGTCCTGCCTGGTGTATCCCTAGGGGCTGTGTTCAGCTGGTGGTTGTGGGGTTGGAAGGCCCTGGATGGCCTCGCTCGCTGGCTCCTGGCTGGGCCACCTCAAAGCTTCAGGTGGCCTTTCTCTTCTGGAAGTACTGCAGCCCCATTGGGGGGCCGTCTTTGGGGGTGTTTTTGGGGAGCAGAAGCTGCAAGATTTTTATGGGTCCCCCAGAAACCTCCCAGCATCACGTTGGTATGTTCTGTTGGTCAAAGCACGGCCATTATTCCTGACTCAGGTGTGAAGCCATGGGCTTCAACAGTCCGGGAGGGAGGGAGGCAGCGGGAGGTGGGTGGAGGGACAGGCATGTGTGGCTGTGTCTCTGCTCTTCACGTCCAGCAGACAGTAACGATGTGGCCTTCTTTTCTTTCTCTAGAAGGAGCCCCTGGGTGGAGGGTGGCCCATATTCCCCTCTGTTCTTTGTGAGATGTTGAGTTTGGATGTCTGACACCCCATCCCTGTTCCTTTTTGATTTGGCTTTTGCATGGATGGCTCTGTGCTCCCGACTCCCTAGCCTGTGGCCTCCATCCACCTGGCACTGACAGTCTTCAGCCCTGGGAGCTGGCCCCAGCCTCGGGGAGACCTTGGGCAGCTCGGCGCTGGCCTCACACTGATCCGTCTTGGGGGGCACTGGAGGCCAGCTCCTCACTGCTGGTTCTCAGGCTGCTGAGCTGGGGAGGGGGCCTGCGGGGCCTGGTCTCCTGATGGGGGAGCATTTCAGGCCAAGTGTTTGGCCATGGGGAGGGAGCCTTGAGGAATGGTCAGTCCTGTCCTCGGTCCCCCCTAATTCCAGGCTCCCACTGCACCTGCTCCCCTTGGCTTGTCCTTGTGCTCAGCAGTGTGTTGGGGCTCAATGAGGACCATGTGAAGAATGAACGGTGGAGGGGGAAGCTTTATCTGACAACTCTGGACCCTACATGTGAGCTCTGGGTTACGGCCCGGGTGCGCTGAGGGAGAATGTGTTCTAAGAAAGCCCATGCTTGTGTCTGGAGGCCCAGAGGACAGACAGAGGGCTTTGTAACAACCATTGTGTGTGGGGGTGCAGAGGGGACAGTCCACTCTGCTTTCCTCAGGCTGTGGGGCCACCGAGAGGGAATAGAGACAGGGTGGCCGGGCAGGTGGTTGTGGATTTTGTGGAGCTGACTTGTCAGCTCTGAGATAAGGCTCAGTATTGTTTCCCTAGATTTTGGCTAAAACTGGTTGGCCACTGTATGACCAGCAGACATTGGGTCCTGTGTCTGTCTACAGTCCCCCTGAGGCGGATGTCTGTCTCTTTCAGGAGCTGGTCAGATAGATTGACGTGTGTGAGAGAGAGATCCTGTATATAAAAATCCCATTTCCATAAAACCCTTGTGAGTCTCCCACATAGTAAACAAGCTCAGTGAAACCAGAAGTTCCTGGAGCTGGGAGTGGGGATGTCTTAACCCTGTTTGTGACCCGTGACTTTAGCTGTTTGACTGGTTCTTACCCAGACACCGGAGAACTCTCCCGAGTGACCTGAGGGCAGACCCACCTGGAGTGCTCACCTGGGGCTCAGGGGCTCCCCGCTCCCCGCCATCAGCTACTCATCTGGGGCTCAGGGGCCTGGGGGCCTTGAGCTCTCCCTGCGCCCCACCAGAACCGGACCAGGGCCGCATCTGGTGGACAGCCTTGGCTCTCAGGCCTCTGTGGCAGGAGTTCTGTTTTCATGGTCTGGAATGCCGTGGCCCCTCCAGCAGGCCTGACCGAGAGCCTGCTGGCCCCCTGACCACTGCTGGGAAGCAGCCTCGCGAGCATTCCTGAGGCGGGCGGCAGGCACACGCCTGGACATGGGGCCTGGAGCCCCCTCCCCGGTGATTCCAGATGCAGGAGGTCTGAGACCCTTTGGATGGAGTTCACTGAGCATGCAGCCGACCGCCAAAGGAAAGGCAGCTTGGCAGACACCCTTGGAAGCAATGTCACGTGGTGATCATTTCCAGCTGTATTTATTTATTCCCACAATTGTTAGCTTTCAGTTTTTTTGGCAGCTGAGCTCTTTAAGAATATTTTTTAATTTATTTTTTATCGTTTTAGACAGTTTTATTGACGCAATTCATGTACCAGACAATGTCCTCATTTAAAACTGCCCGTGCACTGGGCTCTCATGCTGACCACGCGTCTGTGGGACGCTCTGTGTGCAGGACACATACAGGCCACAGAGGGGCTCGGTCCCTGTCGAGCTGCTTGGCAGAACATACTGCCCACCTGCGGGCCCGGCTGTGGCCCTGACGCCTGGCCACCTGGCCCCCTGGCGGCTCCAAAACCCAGGACCCTGCGGACCCTGTGGGTGTTGGACCAGAGGGCCTTTTGGTGAAAGAGGATCCTCTCTTTAGAAACCAACGGATTTCTCTGAGGACCATTTGTTTTCATCATACAACTGGAAGAATGGAGACAAATTCCTGTTGCCTCAAGACCAGAGGGGCGATTGTAAATGTCAATGCAGGAACCTGTAACAGATGAGCAGCATGTGCCATAGTTTTCCTAGTCCATGCTTCAGGGGCCAGGAGACACGTGGTGTTGGCAGAGGGAGTTGTCCGCGGCGGGATAATGCGGTGTCTGAGGGAGCTGGCAGGGCTGCAGACCAGCTGGCGCTGGAACTGTCCTGTCCGGGCTGTGAACCTCTGTGGCCTCCTTGGCACTTAGGTTCCTGGGGCAGGGAGAGGGGAAGGGCTCGGCGGAAATGACTGGACTAGTGCAAGAGCCCATGACTGTGTGACCCCGTGACCAGGGTGTGGCCTTCCGAAGGACGGCCCTGTGGGGTTCAGGAAAGCTTGTCCCTTCTCACTGGCTGTAGGTGCCCGGGCCCCCTGAGAATCATGCACGTCCAGCTGGGGCCCCGCTCCCGTCTGGCAGTGGGCTCTCCTGCCTTTATGGACCAGGG